CTCCCTGCGTTTCCACGGGTTCAGCTTGTAGTGCAGTGAGGCCCAAACCAAAGCCACCTGGCAAATCGGCCACGAGATTCACCAGGCCCTAAATACCAGATGTCATTTTCGATCATGAGAAAGAAACATCACAATCATACATCATGATAATTGATAATTTATTTGGTTACAAAGTTTGTTGTGCCATGTCATGATCATTCATGATCTATTAATTATTACTATAACCAACCCGAATTATAATATGAATCCATTCCTTCGGAATTTTGAAATCAGTTGAACCAAAAGAGACTGGTAGCACAGTAGCCTCAAGCTCCTTCCGTCTAGGTAGATCATGCGCAAAGGATGCTAAGTAAGCCAGCACCATGTGGAAGTTGAAGTCATTTTGCACCTCCATGTGTGAGACATGATGTTGATCACAGAACCCCCAGAAGTGATGAAATTTGGGAGACTATATCAATCAAATTTGGAATGGATCCAGATCAAAACATCAGGTCCTCAATTGATGTAATAATTAGTGTTTCACTGGATGTCCCACAAGATATCTCTCAATCTGCAAAACAGGCCTCCCGTTCGTTGATGATTTCCCGAGAGCCTTCCAAAATGATGAAACGGAACTTTGGGACCTTGCACGATTGCAACCAAATTGATTTGACCTCGATGCTATGTGTGCCCAATTAAAAATTGAGATGAAAAGATCATATATTAATATTGCATCGAGGATGGAAATTGTTGCAGTAAATATTTTATTTATCATTGTCGATCAATGTTGATTCAGATATGACATGGTTGGATTTATCCTGATTTAGATTTTCTATGATTTTCTCACATGTGTCTGTCATGCGAGAGATTTGAGTTTCAGACCAGTCTAACATGTTCCTCTCGAAGGCCAGCTCGTAGACGAAGAGCCTTTCACCTCTGCGCAATGAATCCATCATCCTCGCAGAAGCTTCGCAAGAATTCCTGCATCAGTGCAAGGATCCAACTAGTTTGATTGAAGGGCTCTCCCAACTTGATTAGTTGATATTCAGGGACATTTCAATAAACAACATGATATATAACGATGGGCTACCATTGATCGATAGAAATCACCTAGACACAATCAGACCACCATTTAACCACCAAATGAATGACAAATTTATAATTTATATATTAGTTCCACAAGTTAAGAATGGTAGGCTCATGATGGCTGTCCTTGATCAAGGCCACGCGCTGGGCATTCAAACGTTTAGGCGTGAACTCCCATGGCTGGATGTCTGCCATGTGTCCACATGCACAGCTTCCAATCAAGAAAATTAAAATATGGTACTTTGAGATTCAAATGTTTTTTTTGCTGCTTGGCAGCCCCTCACCTAAAAGCCAAATCAACCAAATTCAGAAGTACATCAAATCAAACAGTATGCACGATGGCCAATAAGGAGTTTACGCATCAACGACCCCAGCTCAAAGATCGACATTGATTGGAAAAATGCACTGGAGGGGTTGGAGGACACCATAAACCTCATCCAAATCCACGATGTCATCGCCAGTCTCACGCTCCAAGGCACCTAGGCAATTTTGTTGGGCTACTTGGTATTAGTTATAATAACCCTGGTCTTCCAAACCCCAAATGAAACTATTACTAGCAAGCATTCCAAGGATTGAGCACCAGGCGGATAGCCAAAGCTTTCTTCATTGTGGCCCATGGCACATGGGCAACTACAAAAAGACAGGTACATGGGCACATGAACCCCTTTTTAAGTTGCCATTGAATGCCATTGATACATTTCATTGGCACTAGCTTGTGCATCTTTCCTGTCTGTAAATGTATGAACTTAGATACCGGTTATAAATCAATACCTTCACTGGTGGCTGTGCCCCCTGCACAGCCACATGGGCCAAAATGGCCTGAACCATCACAACTCCACAATCTGATTACCATCCATCTCAAAAACCAGGCTGTAGCACCTGCCAGCTGGGCCAGGGTGCAAACAAAGGTCGTTACCCCCCAAACAAAGGTCGAAACCTAACAACCTTTCTTTTAATAGTCGTGGAAGACCAGGGTATATATATCATTTACATATTGTGTTTCATATTAAAATCATATTAAATCATGTTTGAGATCAACAGCTCTTTGGGATCCGGAACAGGAGGAAATCTGTACCCTGCAACGACTCAACATCCTGATTTAGGTCCTGGAGATCATCGCTGATGCTACCAACTGCTTGAAGCCTCTCATTTTGTTGGGTACTCCATTACTCAATGCCATGTTTTTGGAGTTTCCAGAAACATTCAGAAACAATTTTGGATTGGTTTTGCCGATGATATGGAATCTCACTTCTCTGATTTATTGAATTTTACTCATCAAATCTGCCAAACCACGCAAAATCATCAACATCAGCCAGCACATGTCTGGCCCCAACTGACCATTGTCCTCGACTACTAATTGCCCATGGCTTCCATAGCTATGTGACTCAAATTGCCAGAGAGTAATGGTTTCCTTTACCTCATTGATGGATGATCTACCTATTAAACATGAATAAAGATTACCAATCTTAGATACTCTGCAAAAAAGCATGTTAGCAGGATAGTAAATATTCCTTATAGCCAAAGATGACAGGATTAGATTTAGCAACTACCCATCCACGGTTGAGCCAGTGAATAATGTGCATAGCTATGGTACCCTTTGATTATTTCACATAGCTATGGACAATGGTTCATTTATGGATGACTTACCTATATTGACCAAACTTAAACATGATGAATTTCCAGTTCGCAAACCGTTAAATAACCAAAGGTTACAGATATAAAAAATAAAAATAATGGAAAATGTTGGAAGCATCAATCCATATGGGTGGTTTTAGCATCTTGCTTTACTACCATCTTCCCATGATTTCTTCATAGACCCATGGCAAAAATCATGATTCACCATTGAACCACTAATTACCAGACTACCATTGAATCATCTGGGCAAATTATCATAATTCACCTGAAACTTGCGGCCATTTTGGGATCATTTCCCAAAAAACCATATGATTCCTTAAGCTTCAGGAAGCCGTGAAATTCAGCTGAGCCGCGGCGGCGAGTTGTACCAAGCCCTCAGACAAGATGCGTCCTCCGAGTCTGGCCTGGGGCGACGGCGAAGTTTGTTTGAGGTGAAGGGAGACGCCTCTGCAGTCCCCAAAAAAATGGGGGAGTGAACAAGTTCCAAAGGTGCGAAATCATGGGGATAGATATGGAGATTTTCATGATATTAACCGTAATTAATGGTATAAGTCACTATTTGGAAAAGGTAAAGGATAGTAAATCATCATGTTTATCATCTGTAAGCTATGGTTTCCATAACTATGTTAAATAAACATAGTCTTGTTTGTGTTGTAAACAAAGTCACTGTTATTTCTAGTCATTCCCCAAAAAGAAAGAAAAACAGATCAATACTATTTCAGAGGGATTTACTGAACTCTATCTTTTTGGGGATAACCACAATATTATTTTGACGCTACTAATGTTTTGTTCCTTTCCGATAGGTCGTGCAGTTTAAACGGGCATTTTTTCGGAGATGTCCGGGAATCAGGTACACTCACCCAAACATGACACCAAATCACTGAAAGGGGATGGGGAATGATTGAGTCAGTTTTTTTTTTGTACAGTATAATTATTCACTACTCTGTTGATCGCACGTTCCACATTTGCCCCAAGGGTGACGCAGTTCCTGTTCATGCAAAACCGCCATTGTTAACGTAAGAAAAAACACATACAACATCTGGATTCAAATATAGAGGTGTTTGCCATTTCCAGGTCAGATAGGTTAGATTGCCATTTCGCCTCGATCTCATCACCAGCAATATGTCCCAAGGCCAGCGTAAGTTTTGTTCAAATTCAGAGATCCAATGCATTTCAATACGGGTATCGAGAATTCACGGATATCAAACCCATAGGATCCATGTATGGTATATATGCTAACATTGGGGGTATACTGATGGTAAATGTTACCATATATAGCAGCACCATGGATCCGTCATGGGAAAGGGTATCCAATTGTGATCAAATGTATCACTCAATCATTGGCATTCTGAATGGCACACCCAATGAAGCAAGGAAGGGAACTCGACGACAATTTTGTGGGTTAAATCCCCGAAAAGTGATGGTTGTTATCGCTGGTTCAAACATGTTTTTTTGTTTTTCTCAGCTTCAACTCCCTTAAGGCCCTTGTCTATGACTTACCCAGGATCCATAGAAAGGAAGACAATCCTGTCCGACACTTGTTTATTGCTTAAATCCCTTATCTACGGATAGAATCCATACAAATCTATGTTTTCAGGTCTTATGTGAAACAAAATAAGACTTAAAAAAACAGAATATTATATAAACAACAATTAAAGTATATAAAAATGATATAGAACCCATGAAAACCCCTTAATTAAGCCTTGTCTATGGGGGATCCATGTTTTTTCCGGCCAAAAATCACCACCTGAGCTTCCCCGGCGGCTGTCCCTGCCGAGACGACCCCCACGTGGACGTCCTTTGGAAGACGCATGAGTTGGAGGCCAAGAATGGGACGATTTTACCGGCAAAAAGTTGCGATTGATCGAGAGAAAATGATGATTATTCCGGCAGCCGTGGGACCGGATTTCAACTTGCAATTCATGAAGATTTTATAAGATTTTAGCAGCCAAAGTTGTCTTTTTTTGACTATGAAGATGTATCTTTTTACCAGCAGCAGTGGTAATTTTACCACTACAAATGGGATTGATCAGCAACAGAACATGGAGAGTCGGTCTCACCGTCTCACCTTGGTAAAAGGTAAAAACCTGGGGATAGATAGTGTAATGACAAAAGCAACTTAAATGATTGGGGTAAAAAACAACAAATGCAGATTAAACCACCAAGAACACCACCAGATTTCACAAACATGGAAGATTGATTAATCACACCAATGACAATATTAACGGAGTTCAATCCAAGAAAATCTAAAACAATGGGGCTGACTATGATCAATGATGCTATAAATCACCATGACTCACTCAGGCGCCTTTCTCGGAACCAGGTTCAGCACGTCTCTCTGCCATTCCCTGGTGTTGGGTGGCATCCCTGTCACAACTGGAACGGGACGTCAGGAAATCCTAGCTTTTCGCTTGGTTGCCACATCAGGATAGCTGGTACTTATATATGGTCATTCTCCTACAGTATATAAACTTATGAAAAAAACAAGTAGATAGTATAGATTCACAGCGTCTAACATGTCTGAGCCCAAATAGTCTTAATGGTAAGTCACCTGAAAAAAATAACCGACAAACCTGTTTTTGTTGCAACCAGCAGGCATGGGAATACCATCTGGGAATCTAACATGGAAATAGAAAGTCCGCCAGCTTGTTGATGTTCCTCCCATCAATATGGGGGTGTCCTCATCGACCGTTTTTCAGTCAAACACCCGTTAAATTTAGAGTCTGGAAGGCCACATTAAAACATGTTGCCATATAGTTTTCATGGTTTCATCATGTTTCATCTCCATATCTGGTTCAATTGCATGGTTTTACCCCCAGGTTTGAGAATTTGGACCACCAGAACCAAGCAGAAAAAAAACACAGCACCTAAAGCCTGCTGCCACGCTGTAGACCTGGCAAATTCGGATCAAACCCGTCTGGAAGGCGGGACAAATGTATGGAGATGTAAAGAGATTGAAATGAGGCTGCAACCTCTAGAAGAAACATGATATATAGTTATATATATATATGGTTATATAATTATGTATACAGTATATATATATATTTATGTATATGTACATATATGTAAAAATAGTGTGCATGGAAGAAATCCTGCACCAGTTGGTAGATGGTCTATCCCATTGCAACCCCATTATTTACAGTGTTTCATAGTTACCAATAGTTATCAACCTGGGTGATAGAATGTCAAAGCCTTGGAAGGCAAATGCAGCCGTGTAAAGTGTAAAGCCGAGGTTTGTGACTAGTTGCCTAGTTGGATGCATGATGCCTTGGTTGCATGAGTCACGTTTTGAATGATAATTTGGTTCAGCATAGGGGGTGATATTGGACAGCTCTTGAGAAACAAGTTGGTGCCTGATAACTGATTAAGATTGATTAAGTGGGTGGGCAAATATAGTTTGACAGTCGATCCTTTGAGCAAGGCGTTGATGTACCATTCAACTATGATCTTAGTCACACATGCAGTAAACCTGTGCATATTTACTCACTACGCAAAAATCATCGATGGGATGCAATATAATGGTATATTAATATTTGGGTTTGTCTGAAATGATGACAAACCATGAACATTCAGGAGTACCCTAATTTAAACAAATATGTTGTATGGGTGTAGCCTCATGGGTGAAACAGAGGGCACGGTGGACCCACACACACACACACACAACTGTTCATTTTCAGTACTTGACTATCCCATAATTGATTTGAGAGCCATCCCCATATTGGGCATCAGTCCAAACTTGAGTTGAGCCATGAAAAATACCCCTATTCAATCCCATTATATATATTATATATATATATGTTGATTGATTCATAGGATAATCTGTACTAAACCGGGTAGATTCTATATCTATTAACAACCAATCAACAAGTTTATTAACCATACATATTGGTATTAGTTACATGTATATCTTCAATAGACTGGTTGGTCAAGATAATTTTCTGGTAATCAAATGTGTCAGAAAATCAACCAATTTTCTCGAATTGTCCCATTGAAAACCCTTTCGTAATTTACAGATGTTCTTAATTAATTGACATCTTTGATTACTGTACATTTATCCCAAAAAAAAAACAATGACCCAGTCTGACCCAATGACCAGTGCTGAGAATTGTATCCTGGGCTCCGCTGGTTCGTTGTATGACCAGTCGCCTTGCACTGCTTCTCGAACTCGTACTTCTGAATCCCACTAACCTCACCGTTTTGCACATAATGTTTGTCTGTCAATGACGAAATGACGATCCATTCACAGACCCAACATGGCTATAAAAATGGTTGATGTAGTTGATTTAGCTATTAAAATAGGACTTTTCCATACCTCTATGTTAGTGTACTAGAGGGTAAACATATATACAATTCTTGTCAATGTGACACAGCCCGTGAGAAGACATTCCCAAAAATTGAATGGTTTCAAATGAACATCATTGGACGTGAACAACATATATATATAATTGTATATATATATATTCATATATGGGTCAAACTCAGAGACTTAAAAGCCAACTTCCCTTTGCAACGACAGGACACGGTATCTAGTTTGTACACCCGTGCCTTGAGGATTTCGGGGGATCCATCCGCCCCAAATTTTCGAGGCAAGAAGCTGGGCCGAGAACCAGGTACTGCTCCAGTTTCACGCCCTCCCCAGTCTCCTGGAGCGCAGAAATGTCGAAGCGGATTCTGAGCGTCAATGTGAGCTTTTTTTGTTCATGGGAAATGGTTCAGTCTGTTTCATAGTTTCCCAATTCCCATGTTTTTATCACCACAATGCGGATTCAATTTGAAGCCCTAAACTACAACTCGCCCATGTCATGATAGTTCCTGGTGGTTCTTGGTGGACCCATCCATGGACGCATGATGTCCCAGGGATGCTTGCCGCGCTTGCCGTTAGGACCAGGATGCCACTGTATCCCCAAACGCTGCTCCAAGTTCATCGCTAGAAATCATCGACAATCATGGAAGTATGTACTGAATCCCCATGTTTAGAGAGTTCAGCTGTCTTGTTGGTTGAAATTCTCCACATCACTGTCTACTGATTGAATTCCCCATTCCTTGTTGGGGAATAATTCTCAAGTTGAGATTGGGATGGGTCAAACCATATCAACCAATATCAACCATATGTTGGGCAGTTATTGACATGCATCACTGTTGTATGTAGTTACAGTGTTACAGCTGAATGAACCGACCCATAGCCACTCACCTTGTCAGGCATTTTGTCAGGTGCCAAATAACCCAAATATTTGCAGTCGTTCGGAGCCTTGACGCGACCGGCGCGGCACCCCACCCTGGACAATTGAAGTTAAAACCAGGGTGTTTCCATACATGGAGGTACCCAATAAATGGATGGTGCAAAAAGGGGAAAATCCTACTAACATGGATGATTTGGGGGTACCCTATGACTCAGGAACCCCCACTTCTCTTCACAATCTGCAGATCCGATCAGGAGGAAACAGACGTGGACAGCCGGCTTGTTTTTGGCAGATATGGACAGCCAATGGTGAGTATACCAATCATGTGACACAGGGACTGCAATTTTTGGCTAATTTAGCATAATAGAAACACTATATATGTACATGCATGATACAATGAAAACAGAAAAAAACATATGATAATATAATAATATACTACAAAACATACAAAATGAAATACATCATATATTATGTACTTATTTTTAAGCTAAAAAATAATATGTGATACAACATGAAAACATGTTGAGAAACAAATACCTGAAAAAAAGTAAATCCATTAAAAAAAAACACAGATAACACATAGTCTTTTGAAACAAAACATATATGTTAAACAAACACAAACATACAAAGTTGAAAAAATGAACAAACCTATATGTGACATCACAAAACAACCAACAAAAACATATTCACAAACACGTTTACAATAATTGAATGTAGTACAGTATCATATGACGTAATTATTGTAAACATGTTCTACTATAGTTCGAAAATCTGAAATGATACTATATGACAAACATGAATATATAGTTATATATGTAATTATGTATAAATACAATACACATACATCAGCAAAGTAATTTTTGCAAAGGCTTTGGAATTAGTACATGAGTAGCGGACAAAAGTACTTGTTAAATTTAATGCCATGCACAAATTAGGGTCGTCCCCTATCTGTTGTGAGGATTTCAGTACTCCCGGAGGTATCACAGATGGGGTATCGGTATACGGTCGTCCCCTATCGGTTATGAAGGTTTTGTGCAACCTCAGAGAGGCCAAGGCGAAGCAAAACTATGCAAAACTAAAATAGCATTACAATAATTTTGTCTGTTATTCACATAAGTAAACAAACGCAAAACAAAACAGCACATTAAACAATAGTAGTAATAATATGTGTACAAATGTGGAACAACAATATAGTATTGGTTACTACTCTACACAATAGCTGCTATAATATATCATAATCTCAAAGAAACTGCTCTCCAACGGGTGAAATATGTACATTATATGTAAGCACACTGGTGAACAGCACGCACACCGTAGGTCTGGTCAGTCCGCTGTTCCATCTGCTCCGTAGGTTGAAACCAACATGCGCCACGTGCGTCTTTGGGGGACAATCATCATCAGTTCATTTATCTTCATGATTGGACTTTCCAAAACGTACACATTACTACGTATACCATATAATGTCCATCATAAGCTGACCATGCTGGACCCTAATATTGGAACCTATTAATCCTGGGGGGAAAGGACTTTGCAGGTGATGGAAAAAACAAACATATTGTGATGAATGTCCAGAAACATTGCTACTTCTATAGTATTAAACCAATTGCCATGGGAACTGGTAGCATAACACATTACAACATATTTCAACATTGAGTCAACAAACCACCGACCCCCTTCTCCTATGTTGGTTCGTAACTCCAAAAGTTGATGGCAACCCCTGGCTGAATTGACTGAACAGAACCCCAGTTGAACAATGTCCTTCCATTATTTTGGCTAGCGAATAAGTTTTAATGATTTGTAGTAATTTGCATTGTAGGATTCCCTGCGTAGCTAGACGAGACACATCATCCATCAACGTGGGATCTGATAATTTGCCAACGAGATCCACATATATCCCCATATGTTTGGTTGTTCAAACATGTTAAAACCATCCTTTTTTAATGGTTAAACCACCATTTTCATGGATAAACCACCATTTTTAGTGGTTAAACCACCATTTTTCATGGTTAAACCACCATTTTCATGGCTAAACCATGATAAACCACAATTTTTAGTGGTTAAACCACCATTTTTCGTTGTTAAACCACCATTTTCATGCTTGAACCTCCGTTTTTCATGGATCAACCCGGTCCGAGTTGCTAGTTGCATGGCCGTGATCTCGTCACGATTGGGCGGTAGAAGCTGAGGCACGTGGCAGGCTGTTGGACATGGCTGGCAGGAATAGGAGGACGATCCCAATTACCATCCGTTTATTCGTAAAAAAAAACGAAACATATTATTCCAATTAAAAGGCACATTGATCATTTAAGGAAACATGTATATAGTATATATATAAGTATATGTACACATGTGCATATAATGTTATATATATATACATATGTGTGACTTAATAATTTAAGAACAAAACATATACAACTATATATATATTATGTACAAGCATGATAAAATTACTAAACGCAAAAGAACTATTGTATATATGTCAACCATATCATTAAGACATATTTGTTTACGACATCAAAAACATGTGTATATATATGTGATACAAACGTATACATGTGTGTGACTGCAACATAATCATGTATGGGTGTTAACTTGAGCCTGCGGCTTTTTGTCCAAACAAATCAACGCCTTTCAGCTTCGCATGGCATGTTTTTTCATGCCCTTGGCTACTCCTAACAGGGCTACTCCTAAAAGTTGCTATCCTTTCCAAAACATATCCAAAAAGAAAGAACATAATCTCAAACATAGACTCAAACCCTCAAAAGAAAAACATCGGCCCGGTGGCAATCTTTCAACATGCAACTGTACTAAACTACCCAAAAGACCCTCATTTTCAAAGTTTGGAACCCCAAAGTTGAAGTTTCTCAGTTTCTCTCTCAACAAGTTGGGGTGATCTGGGCTCCACACATATCTGCAGGCAACAGGGAAAACATCCCAGTTTCATTAAGTCAGACCATAGTAATCCTTCCTGCTTAAGCTGGTATCGTGCCTGTTTCAGGTTGGCCGCCAAGAAGTATTGCCTGGCACTCTGACGGTCCACCTTAAGTAGGACCAACAACATAAAACATGTTATATCAGGGTTTCTATAAATGGGGTTACCCCCAAATGGATTGTTTATAAGGGAAAATCCTATTAGAATGAATGCTTTGGGTACCCCTACTTTAGGAAACCTCCATATGGCAATGGATATCCCTTAAAGCATCAAACAGCATTGCCTTAACATGAACATAGGGTAATTAGGAGAACCCATATTCCTTAAGTTTTTACATCCTATAGGTTCCTGCAACCAATAAGTGCTGGATTCCAGTATTCCCATATGTTAGCTTATCCCAAATACATTTCTTGGGGATTATAGCAATGTTACTAGTGCCTGGCTGGGTTCCACAACAGCTACGAGAGCACTCCACTTGATGCGGGAGACAGTCAAACATTATCATGTATACATACAACACATTCTATAGATATACAAACTGTTTGTATATCTACTGTAAATCTATATAAATAAGAACATATTACATATTGATATACAATAGATATACATATTGATATATGCATATGACATCATCTTACATATTGATCCCAGCGGGATTGTTACGCCACTGTTCTACCAGTTCTTCCCCTGATGGATGATCCTGCACCGATGCCGACTTAGTTCTATACCACCTTCGGGAAACAGCACAAAACATCATTAATATGTATGTATGTATATATAATAATATAATATATATAATATATAGTATAATACAATATATATATATAGTATATATATTGTATATATATACACAGTATGTATATATACATATTTTTGTAGTTTATCCCAGTGACACGAGATTACAGCTCCATTACCCCACTACCATTGCTACGATAGTTCTATAACGAAAAGGAATTTGAGAGACCGTTTACCACTTCAATCATTGCAGTAAACAGCTGACGCTCCCCTCCGAGCTCATGTGCTTTTCTCCGACGAATTGCAAAGCAATTTAACTGCGTTCGATGGCCAAAGTGGGGCCCCCTAGATTCTTAGATAGCTAACTTGGCTTATAACTCCATAAAAACATCCAAAAAACTATGGTTTATGATATTGATAACTATAAATGACTATATAGTATAGATGACTATATAGTATATAAAGTATTTATAACTATAAATGACTATATATACTTAATGGGCTTCATAAACCAACAACCATATCTCGGCGGCCCCACATTGCACTTGGTGTTCCACCATCATCTTGGTTGGTGGTCTCGAGAGCTGGGTTGCGATCTCGATGGGATTAAAGATGATTAAACTATTCTGGTTGGTGGGTTTAACCATCTTGAAAACTATTGGTCAATGGGAAGGATTATCCCATATAATTAGTATGGAAAATAACAAATGTTTGAAACCACCAACCAGCATTACAAAAACACTAAAGGACCATCTCGAGTCTTGATTAGACATGATTAATGAGTAGTATCACCAAGAACATTTTTGGTTAGACCATGATTAGACACTGATTATCAACATCGCAACCTCTGTATCTTGCTGTTTGTGGGTGATCTGTAAGACCAAGAGCTAGAAGCTCACCGGGTATTGTTCAGGCCAACAATCAGACCCCTACAAACATGCTGGAGAAATACCAACAGTTATGGCCCTTTACCAGGTATAAATGGGATTATAACTCTGGTCACTAAGGTTATATGAGTCATTATAATCCAATCTATAACTGTTATGGGCTACGACTGTTGGATACTTGTTGCTTTTAATCTTTAATTTGCACTTTTTGGCAGGTCACCCATTGTCGCTGATTAGATCATGGTTTCTACTGATTAAGTTCGGCTATGTCATGCTTGGATTCCCACTTGAGGGTAAAGGAATCAGAAAATAATGGCCAGCAGTGATCATCGCTAATGGTAAATTCAGAAACAGTTTAACAATATCTCTAACATTATAAAATCACAAATAAAACGTCCGACATAGCTTACCATATATTTAACATCTAACTTGCTAGGCATATCTAACCATCCAGAATTCTCACCCCTCAAGCGTCAAGGGTTCCCTCAGGCTGTCTCTCTCCCCTCTTCTCATTGTCATGGCCACGGCCGCCACGGCCAGCGCCAACGAGGCCACGGCCGCGAGGCAGGAGGATCCAGCCTGGAAAAACAAGCGATGAAGCGCCGGATGGATACCCTCTGGTAAACCAACATAACTATGGAAAATAACCATTTTTAATGGGAAAACTTACTATAAATGGTCATTTTCAATAGCTATGTTGAATTACCAGAGGGTATAATGTTGTACAAATGGATGTAATAAACTTGAGGATATAATAGATATAATGGATATTGATGGATATTGGTTCTTGGATATCGATGATATTGGTTCCAGCCAAAAATTGGACTTCTAATATCTAATGACTAAAATGGTTGCCTCCCTTAGGCCCTGAGATTCTTTTACAAAAAAAGGGTTGCGAAAATGGTGTCTTCTACTTTTCCGGGTTTCTTACCTAAATAAATTTGGATCCAATTGGGTTTTTTCAGAACTCTATGACTATGGCACTCATTTTTTCTATGGCACTTATATATTCTTACATGACTTACCATCTGGTTATTTAACATAGCCATGGAAAATCACAATTTTTAATAGGTAAACCATCTATAAATGAGCCATTTTCCATGGCTATGTTAAATAACCAGAGGGCATATGTCTGACGTCATATCTCATAAACATTCATTTCCAGCCACTGATCTCCCCCATTCCAGTGCTCCAGTCCCTTGGGATCCTCAAGTGGGCCATGGCTTCCATAGCAGTTTCCACTATCCCCGTGACCCCGTGTTTCTTGGGAAAATCGCAAAAAAATGCTAAACTATATTAAAGAATCCTTTAACTGCATCGCCAGAAACTGTATTAATCATTCAAGATCCAATATGTCCAATTATATATCCGTTATATATATATATATCCATTAAATATGCATTACATGTTATCCCTGGTCATATCAAAAGAAAGGCTAGCATATAAAAAAGCAAGTATCCCTAGTAGTCCTTGTATCATCAGTACCATTACTATCCCACAGTATACATATATGTATATATATACATACATATAAATACATATACATATATATATATATATACATACATACATACATACATACATACATACATACATACATACATACATACATACATACATACATACATACATACATACATACATACATTCATACATACATACATACATTGCATTGCATTGCATTGCATTACATTACATTACATTACATTACATTACATTACATTACATTACATACATACATACATATATGTATATATATATATATATGTATATATATATATGTGTGTCCAGTAAATCCAATTCAATCGCATTAAGACCCCTACAAATCCATACATGGAAGCTATATTTCTTCCAGCTCACCCCATCGCTTCACCTGCCATGACCATGGCGAGGCCGCCAGCAAGCTGGGCTGCGCGTGTAGCCGGGCCTTCACGAAGCTGGCGATCCTGGGCCAGCGAGCTACAACACATGCCCATCTTAGTTATTTGTGTTATGTTGTTTCTATATATTTATCTATACAGATCTCTATTATTACAGACTACTATATAAACATAATAGTATATATATATATATCATTATACAAAATGATGTGTATATGTACATGATATATGTGTATATATATATACATATATATATATATATGTATATATATGTATATATATATATGTATATGTATATGTATATGTATATGTCATATATGTCATTATATGTCTATTTCTTCTGAGCTGGAACGATGCACGAGGTTGATGTTGAAGTCTTTGGCATTCTGCTTCGTGTATAAGCAACGAATCAACACGGCTGGATTTGTCTCTTTGAAACTTTTAACATGGTCAATTTGCAAACCTTTGCTGCACTGCTCCAAAAGCCACACTTTCTCCTGTCTGGAACGCTCCTGTCTACACTTTGAGAATTCAGAACAAGGTTTGGCTGACATGACCGTGGGATTCTATTAATCCCCCCAATATTCAACACACCCAAGAAACCATGGTTTTTCATAGGGTATCATGAAGAATGGGGCTGTAAAAAATATGAACGGTTTTTTCGTCGGGATTACGAACGTCAACCCGAAGATTCCATCCCCCATGGACCCCATGGATATCATGTTGGGGTCAAGCTGGAATCATTCGAAGTTTGTAGTCTGGTGGCACAGTGCTGGGAATACCACATGATTCAACATAATATATCATAATATATATATATACGTATTTCAGCTCCTGCCTTGAAGATCAGATATCGTTTCGGGGGTCCTATGTAGATTTTGAAAGCCCCGAACACATCCTGTGCCAGCCTGTATCCTTCCTTCATTTTTCACTGTTTCCCCCTATCTCGACCATCGCTCGCTTAACTTAGAATTTGGATGGGGCGCACTCTAAGTTTGGTGCCGGGATGCAAGAATTACTCTAATTTCCTGGGTGAAAAGCACATGTGGGTCATTTGTGAGCTCAGAAGTCAGAAAGGTTGTCGTAAATCTACAGCTACTGTGCTTGATCCTGGATTCACCAACTAATCTAGCCCAAAAAGGACCCGCATGGTGGTACATAATGGTGCATATCATATACATGCGTATACTGTATTATTAATGATAGCATTAATGATACCATTAATGATACCGTTACATACCAAACAATGATACAAGTACTAAACAATGCGAAGCCAATCTCAACCCAGAAAAAGGACTCCTGACAAATTATTCACATTTGGCCTGTCTCAGGATTTAGACATTTAGTTCCCCTGCATGTCTAGTCATCCGTATCCCCAAAGATAATCAGATTTTCCCATGGACCCGGTAGAGGATAAGAAACCACTCGGATTGAGGCCCTAAGAGCAACATAAATGGTATCGGAACCGAAGTGAACACAGAACCAGCAAGGCTCAAGTCCTAAGGACTTTACCGGCGGTAAACCCTTTACCAGACTCACTGTGTTTCAACGGCCAAGGTCGACCATCATTTATGGGGTTTGGTCAGTGGTGGTTGCTAGGATTACTCAATATCCTCTGTGAACATCACATGTGGGCTTGTTACCCACAATTAACCAAGAAACTGTGATGTTTCACCTGCAACATACCCCAACAAAGATATTGGGAGAGATATAGCAAAGTACACAAGAGTACTAATCCACCCGCAGATGGTGAAATATCTTGGACCCCCAGGGGAAATCACCAATGGGTGCCAAGCCGACAAGTTTCTTTTGGAGCTTGGGAGCTAGTGGTCCGCGGTGCAAACTCGAAAGCCTCAGTGGATCCGTGGAAACGTTCCTTTTTGGGTTAATATACTGGTTAATATAGTGGTTACTAGTGGTAAATATGGTAATGAGTGGTAATGGCTAATAATGATTAATAATGGATTTACCCTTTGGTAAACTAACATAGCTATGGATGATTAATGATGGTGAATATCTACTGGTTGGTGGTTTCAACCCCTCTGAAAAATATTAGTCACTCTTTCGCTCTTTCGCGCAACGTCGAAGCGACGGCTGCGTTGTGCAGCGGACGCAGCAACTGCCCCAAACTCCTGGCGGAGCACCTGCATCGCAAGGAAAAACCAGCAAAACGTTCATCCAGTCACCTGTCGCAAATCGGCAGTCTTGCATGCAATAGGCAAAAATTGCCTCAGCCAACAATCAATGGCCTCTGTTCTTTCCAAAGACGCTCGGACCGGGGCAGTCGTGGTCCAGAAGGCAATGTGACAACCTGCAGTACTAGTATGGTCAGTGGGTATTTTGGTGTGACATGCTTTGGCAAGTTTTGTCAGAAACTGAGAAAACCACCTGGCCCTACGCAAGAAAGGTTCAGGTGGCTGGGACAATCCGCCCTTCCACTTTTTGGCATTGACATGATACCAAGGTCCAAAGTTCTTCACTCGAAAGGTAGCATCAACGAAAAGTTGCCACCAAGACCATCTTTGCACTGGCTGTGTCGGGTCGTGCAACTCTTTGATCCATGTAAGTATGTCTTGGCATTCAGGTATATTATATGGTGTCGCTTCCAAAGGTACAGTGTCAGGAAAATTCCAGTCTGACATGACCAGCTGTGTTTCTTGGGTTTTGGCCCCTTGAGTGGGCCTAACATATGTTTCTGGACTCTTCAAAAGGCAGTGAAGACCAATTTGCAACAACATCTTATGTAAACCCTCGCGTAAGTGTCGGAGATGGTCGAGTTGCTCGCACAAGATCTTCCAGCTTCTCAAAAGTTGAGGCCATGACAACAAGGCGTGTGCGGCCACGCTGTCTGCTGCATCATTACCCAAACTCACCATTTTTCCGCGACCGGTGTATTGGAGCTCACATTTTGGTGGCTAGCCACCTTGAACACACCTTGGCAAAGCTTACCGGCTTCACGCATGTGTTGCGCAAGTTTATTGATCAAGTCATGATTGCACGCTTTGACATTCCACTCATGGTCTGGATCAGCCAGCATCTGTTGAAGCAACTGAACTACCCGTTGGTTATCAACCCACAAACAAAAGAAAACCCCTGACTTAACGGTTGCTCTAACTGCTGCTGCTGCTGCAAAAAGCTCTGCTCGAAGCACTGTCTGATGCCGCCCTCTAAGTGGGCCAGCGGCATACGCTTGAAAATCCCACATGTTGTTTGGGTCAGCAAAAACAACTCCCCAGCTGCAAATCCTGGCAAACTTGTCTTTGGGTCTGAGGCACGTACCATCAGTGAAAATGTGCAACGGTCCGCCAATTCCTTGTGGCAGTGCCTCGTCTGTGGAATCTTCTAGGGTTGGAAGGTTGTCCAGCTGGCGTCTGAATGGCTGCAGTTAAGATGGTTCAGGCATCCACCCTTGCAAATGTGTCGCTGGTGGCATCTGTGTCAGTTCTTCGATATCTTTTGGCTGTAAGTGTTCACGGCAGTGGTTAAGTGCGGTGCATTGCCAGTTCCGGTGATAGAGGCTGTCCGGTTGTCCGCACAGCTTGCAACTTGTGTCTTTCGGGTCATTTCGATGTCTGAGATGGTTAGCAGTGTAGAAAGTTCCATTCAAGGCGCTACGCAGGATGGCTCTGTCTCTGGGCTGTGCTGTCAAAGTTTCTGTCGTGAGCTTTGCGTTCGTAAGATGCATTCCTACGAAAGTTTTACGTTCGGAAAGTTCACAAGTCACTCTGTATTGCCAAGCTTCTGAAACTCGGCTTACGAGTTCTTGCACTGGAGTTTGCCAGAGGTCCACTGGTTGACCAAACGCATCACGAAAAAACCCGTCTGCATCCCAATTCCAGTAAACCTGGTGAAGCCTATGCAACACGACTGCACATGGTCCAACTTCAGGCCTGGATCTGCTAACATCTTCGGACAACCTGGTGAATTGTGGAGCGCACAAGTCAAAGTTCATGTATTGCCTACACTGCATTACCGTGGTGTGCAAGGCATGGTAACCCGGGTCAAAAGACGGGTGCTCAAGCAAACTGAGGTGTAACACCGGAGAGCAGCCTTTTTTGTGTTCATTGAGGGCCCTAAGCGCCCCTGTTCTGAGTTCATCAAACCATGCATCTCCTACATGTGCAGAAGCTATTCCATGAAGTGTACAAGGCCATGCAACTGCCCTGATGGCGAGGAGTTTCTGCAGATATGGCGCGGGTGAAATGGCCAAAGACTTCCATCTTTCTTTGAAACTGTCGATTTTGGCAGTGATTGTGAAGTTGGTGGCTTGTCTCGTGTATTGCACATGTGCACCTACATCTCTGGCAGCAGTACGTATGTGATACCCATGAGAAATGAAGAGCTTTCTGAATTGGCCATTCGGGGACCAAAGATATGTTTTGGTGTCATCTACTTTAAGCTCCATTAACTGCAAGATCTTCTTGAGTTGGGCTGTCCCTTGCAGTAGTTGGTGTGGGTCATGTGAAAGCAATTCAAGGTTATCAACATAGGTTAACATGCGAACCATGGGTGTTTTCCTCCTGAGCCAAACATCGATCATTTGGTTGGCCCCCAACATGGCTACCACGCTCAGTGAGCACCCTTCTGCAAATCCAGTAGTGGACCGGATGGCATGGCTGACACTGCCTCTTATTGCAAACCTACGTTCCATGAGTTGCAAAGCTGAACTCCAAGCATGTACAATTGGTGAAGCAACTCCCATTCTGAGTAAGGCATGCATGATTGGCACACGTGGCAAGTAGTTGAAGCCTTTTACAATGTCAAGAACTGCTCCGCAACTATTTCTTCCACTGGCAAAATCTTGTTCCATGGTCGATTGCCGCGCCATCCACAAGTTTGTGGTGCATCTAGAAGGCAAGTTACCAAAACATTCACCCGGCATTTGAGGCAGTAAGTGCCGAAGTATCTCTTTTGACCGGATTGAAGCCCAAGTCCTGTAGATGAGGCTAAAAATTGTGATTGGTCTATAACTTGACACAGAGGCTGCACCTTCATGTTTCTCAAGAGAGTGGACTATGCCACAAAGCCACTGTCGGGGCCACTGCATTTCTTGTTTTTCCACTTTGGTGATGATATCTAGAATAGCTTGCGTGAGGTCATCAGGCAACATCATGAGGTCTTGCCTATTCCAGCCATCAGGACCTTGTGCTGCATTTCGCTTTTTCTTGGAAATGGCTTTCTTCCATTGTTGGACTGAGATGGGTGCATACGTCTGAGCTGGACCCCTGGGCTGTGCAAGGTCAAAAAAGTCTTGCAAGGGTTGCCAGTGGGCAGCAGGTATATCTTTGTGTTGGTCCCACCGCATTTTCCATTCATCACTGAAACGCTGGAAAAGTTCCTCAAGTTGGCCTATGAAATGCTCTTGGCGAAGTGTTTGGCCTGGAGCAAAACCTTCAACACTTTCCAACCATATCTTATCTTCGCACATGGCTATTGGTGAAACCGGGCCATGCGGTGTCATGATCTCACCTGGTCCAAACTGCTGGTGTTTGTCAAGTATGACTGCTTGTTGGTCATAGTCAACCTCAATGACTGCAACTTCGCATTCGTCTTGCAGAACGCTAACAGGGGCTGCTTTGGGCTTGGCAAAATCTTTGAAAATCTTGTTGGGATTCATCACTCTGTTAGCCTTGCCCTTGGCAACAAGTTCCGCTTGAAGAACTTTTTCATTCCTTCTTACTTCGCGTTCGACAACCAGGCAAATTCCAGACAATTCTTCAGCGGTGGGCAAATCGCATGGGATCTCTGCTGGCGCATGCGCGAACTTTTCTGGTATGTTTCTCCACCAAGTAGGAAAGTGTCCAAATCCCTGTGCTTTCAGCACGGCTCGCCATTCCCTATGAGCATGGGTGAGTTGATTGCATGTCCATGTATCTGCATTAAACAATCTTCTCAACGACTCGAGTCGGCGCAGTTGTGTAAACTGTCTTTGATGCTGAAAGTTTTGGCCTGTAAAAAGTGGCTGGACATCTCCATTCCTACTGGGCTTAAGGGGTTTAGAATGCACTTGCAGCTTGACTGTGGCAAGAGTGGCACATCGACCTCTCTGATTCTTGTGTAGTCCCGGTTTGTCTTGGGCTAGGAGATGTTCATGAACTCTTTGTTCGAGGGTCTCGGCAATGCTTTGGCTGGCCTTTTCAGGGTTATCAAAACTGTCCACCTGAAAGTTTGCACTGTGGAGTGGCACCTGGCATTCATCCCAAGGCAGGGGCTTGGGTACTCGCCATTGGTACATGTGCTGTTCGGTGCCGAACATTTCGAAGTGTGCACAAACTGCAGCATGGTCGCTAAACACATGGTCAATGACCTGTACACTTCGGAAAAATTGGGCAAGCTCAGGGGACAAGAACAGGAAATCTTTAGTTGTGGTTTGCTTACAAGTAGCTTTAACAGGTTCACCTGTGCGCTTTTCATGAAGCTTTTGAACTTCCTGCCATCCCATTTTTGACCATACTTCGGTTTGTGTCAAAGTGCCTTCTAGTTGATTAAAATCACCCATTATGAATCTTGGTCCCTTGAGATTTTTCATGATTCTTTCGGTGGCCAACTCAAGCAAATTGTCGGTGGCTTGTCTGACGTCAAATGAATCAGCACGGTATGAGTGACCGTAAATGACTGCACCGTGGATCCAAACACCATTGAAAAGAAAAGTATTCATTGCAAATCTGGCCGAGGCCCAATCCGCATCTGTACATTGTTTCTGAAGCCGTCTGCTTGGAAGGCTGGTGACAAAGCCTGTGCCTACATGAGTACCTGCAACTGCGGTAATGGCTGAAGAACGATATGGTGCTGGGGCCCCTGGATGAAAAGATAAACCCTTATTGTTGCAATGAAGCTCTTGTTTGAACTTCCGAATGCCAACGGTCGAAAGGTGTGTTTCGCAAATTCCCCAAATCACATTGGGCTCGGACGGAAGTTGAGAAAAACAGGCACTCTTGCGTGCCAGCCCGGTGGGATTAATTGCCCCAATGGTGAGGCCCGGATGCGCATCGGCAGGTCCAGGGTTCTGTGCTTCCCCAATCCTAATTATGATCACTGCTAGCATCAGGGCACGGATGGCCCTGTTAGTGATCTTTACATGCAAAGATCTGGCTCTGGGTTTGCGTCATTCGGCCGTTTTCGGCCTTTTATTGGTTAGCAAAGCTTCTATTCTGGTCATTTGCTCCTCCAATTTTTGATCGAGGAGGCTCTGCATTGTGTGCTGTTGTTGGTCGGCCTGTTGCTTCAGTGCCTGGACTTGGTGAGCAACCTGGCTGTTGTGCGTGGTCTGCTGATGCTTGAACTCAGAGAAAGATTCGGTGATGTGTTGGACATTGCTGGTCAACATTGAAACTTGTTGTTCAAGTTGTGCAACTCTGGAGTCACCACCTGTGTCCATGTCCATGTCAGGCTGTCTTTCTTGGGAAATCTTCTCTTGGACGGATGCCATGACTTTCTTATGTACATTGGCTTCAATGGCGGCAAGTTGGCTGGCAGAAGGAGCACGCTGCTTGGTCTGAGCTGCATATGCTGTGGACCATGGGTCATGCATGAGCCAAGGGTCCTTGGCTGCATCTTCTCCTCCTTGCTGCGTTTTGGCGGTGATTGTCAGGTGTTTCAATGTTTTGAAGGATGCCACAGGAGCTCCTACCGGCTGCGCTTGGGATTGTCTTTGCACATTGTGCTCACTGAAAAGGACATCCCCATGGACCATGGTGAAGACCCAAAACTCAGGGGCTTCCGTGGCAAGTGCGACCCAAACTAGTCCCTGCTTATCTGGTGTCAATCCTTGGGTGTGTGATGCTCTAGCATTCCATCCCCAGGTACCAAACACCTGCTGTAAGGACTTCTTCGTGGTGCCAAATGGCAATGGAGCAATGCGATACTGTTTGGTTGTGGATCCATCTAAGTATGCAATGTCCGGCCGGTGTTGCTGGTGAACTTGCTGTGCTTCTGCTTTGTTTACTCTGAGTCCAAAACGATCTCCGGATCTTGCGATTGCAGTTTCAACTGGTGTGGCTTGTTTGGCAACCACAGTGTCTGCAAAGCTCTTCTTGGGCAGCCATACTATGCGGTGAAGACAGCATGGCTCTCTTCCTGACTCAGTTCTGGGTTCAAAGAACACCCCATCCACACTATTGTGAGTCATGACCTGTGATGCTTTGTCTGCCGAGAGCCTGAAAACAACAGAGAACAGGTCAGCTTGGTCTGGCCTCACCCGTTGATATTGCTTGTTGAGGAACTGTCTATCCCAAACATCTAGGATGTCGGATGACTCAAGTTGGGAGAAATGATCCATGGTCAACATGGCTTTCACTGGCTTGGCAACCAAAGCATCCCATGCGTTCGGGTACTGGTCTTTGTACAACACCGCTCTCACAACCTTGGTCTCAATTTGCTCGATTCCTGCAGGTTGCGCTGGCATGAGGCGTGTCACTGCTTGTGCTCCTAGTTGGACCAATGCTGCCGTCAGGATCATAGGTTCCTGTGTCTCAGGGCAGTTGGCTGGGAACTTGATCACTTGGTGTTGTGTCGGGAGTTCATCACTTTGAAAATCCAGGATAAGCATTCCAATCCCTTCTTTGCTCAATGGGGCATGTAAGTGCAGGTACGGCTTTGCATCTTGGATGTTGAGAACAACCACACCTCTCTGTTTGACATGAATCTCATTGATGTTCACTTGTACCAAGGGAGTACCATCCTGTTGCTGGAAAATGCCTGGTGGGATCTGAACCTGTGCAGCTGCAGGAGTGACCCATTTCTCGGCTGGTGGTTTCTTGTTGGCTTTGTTTTTCCGACTACCCATTGGTTTACCTGTCTGTAAGCGCTCAGCTACTTTGGCTTGAAGCTCCTCAGCAAGTACAAGTTGAATTGGCGGCTTGCTGGCGGTTGCTTTGGCTTTAAGATCGGCCCAAGGCCTGGCAGATCCTACGGTTGCTTTGAGACTCGCATGTCCAAGGCTTTTGACGAGCTGCTGAACTACTGTCGGAATCCTTTGGCTGCTGACTCCATGTTCATTAAGCATATTGGCAATCTCTTGGACATGTGCTTCTGCTGTTGTTCCTCCCAGCAACAGTTTGGAGGTAATGCGTTTGTCTGCTTTCTGATTGACTAGGTGCTGGGCAAAGAGCAATCTCCACTGTATGGCTTCTGGTATCTGCATGGGGCAGGTTCGGACTTCTCCAGCTGCTTTGTTGAGGATCCATGCCAGTGCCTGAAAGCCACAATCTGCTGGGAAAGTTGAGCCAATGACGTGTGCATGACATGTAATATGATGACCGAGGGCGGACTCAATCCATTCTGCAACCATGTCTTTTTCATCGACTGTGGTATGCAAACTGATGGTGTCGTCACGAAACATGGCGCTGACTGGGAACCAGTGATTGTTCCGTAAGCATGCTGTGTGTACGCACAATGGTACTCCGGATTGCACTGCTTTCTCTGATGCTGTCAAGACCCATTCGGCAAGGACTTCTTGGTCATCTGGCGTTCCTGCAAGGATCAGTGGGTCAGTTGTGTTTGCAAAGTCTTGATTTTTGAGCATCTTCATGTAGTACGTCATCTCGTCGTTAGCAACCCAACCTTTTTGAGACCACAAAGCAACAATGCGTTCTAGCCCTTGAATTTCAGGTGGCATGACGTCACTGAATTGTGGGCATTTGCAGATACACTCCTTGTTGCCATCTTCAAGCAAGATAATTTGTTCATGCTGAGGTACAACATAAACAGGAATGTGAGTACCAACAATCGACATGGCCTTGGTCGGTGGTGGCAAGTCATGCAACTTGGCTTCTGCAGTGACGATTTGCCCTACAGTGGCATGACCAGGAACCTTGATTCGATGGAGGTGTTCAAGCCTGTGCACAACCAGGACGACCTTGTCGGCATCTAATGTCACCTGTGTGGCAATGCAGCTTGCTGTGTCCTCTGGTGCCTCAGGATGGGGGAAAAGCAGGGAAAGTTACAAGCTGCCTTGTGTTGTCCAGATGGCACTTGCTTAGCACATGCATCTTCCTTGCTTTTCTTGAGTCGAGGTGGAATGTCTTTTGCATCTTCAGCGCTTTTGCGTTTGTTGGTCGAAAACCCAGTCACTCCCCCTTTGGTGGCATATGGAAGGATGGCTTGCTCATAGGCTTGCTGTGCTTCATGCTGGATGAACAACTCCGAAGGTGGTGATATGTTGGCTTCAACATCAGCTTTGCTCGCATGTTGTGGAAATGAAGACTGGTGTTTGGTTGTGTTATCAGTCAAGGGCTGCATGTCAGTGTTGTTCTTTTGGGGAATGATCAGTTTCCCTTTCCAAGGATCATCATGCTCCCAAGGATCAGGGGTTGTTGCATGTGCTTGAGCAGTGGCAGTATGTTTGTCATGGCTGTTCTTTTGTTGCAACTGTTGTTGGTGAATGTTGAAAAAGGTCACAACAGCTCCGTTGGGGTGATAAACAACGTTGTTGGTAAGATCATCTTCATGCTGTTGCTCTTCATCCTTGTGTTTGTCTTGTGGGTGCGTCATGGTTGGTGTGCATGAGGAATTCCGCAAATAATCTGTACACGGCTGATCTGTACAATCGGCTGCATCTCTGTACACGGACTGGGACGAACCGGATGCCCATGCGGCGGCGATCGGCAATGCATTTGGCACGGATGCAACAAGCTTGGCGGCTGTCTTGGGTGGAATGGCACGGTCATTCTCAACAACACTGTACAGTGAAAGGTCCGTTGACTCCACCTGGAAAGCAAAATCAGGCTGCTCATTCTTTGGAATTCGGTGGTTGGTGCAATGATGTTTCGTTTGATCCGTTTTTCCGAGTTTGTGTGTACTGGTGTGTACATCTGTGTAGGCATCAACGGCATGATTGGAATGGTCAGTCAGTTCCTTGTGCTTTCTTGACAAGGAATTCGGATGCATTGGGACCTGTGGAACACCATCTATGTACAACCGGCTGGTGTCGGATGCTTCACATGTATTCAACTGAGTCTCAGGCAAATCTTGGTGTTGGAAAACGGCAAGAGCTTGCTGGTGGACATCAGTCTTTTGGCATGTTCCAGGCTCAGGCATTGTCATTTTGGTGACATGCAAATCTTGAGTGTCTGGTTTGCTTCTGGCATCACACTGAATGGCAAAACAGTTTGCATTGCTGTGGTCGGAAGCTTCTACATTCTCAGCACAAGCATTGGCGATGGTCTTATCACCTGCATCTGTCGGTTGCATTGGCGAAAACCCTTCTGTGTTATGTGCATGAGAAAACCAACTTTCCTTACTACCGCAAGTTTGCACTGGAGGAGTCTCAGGTTCGTCATGGACATGTTGCAATGTGTGGACATGATCGACATGTGCACTTGTGTTCATCAACGGCATGAGTGCGTCATTTGGTGATTCATCAACTGGGGTGTCCAGTTTGTCCAACTCTCTTGCAAATGCTTCCATAAATCGGGTAGTGTGCACGGCAGGCCACACTTGATCTCTGGCACGGAGAAGCTCCTGGCACATGCGGGCAATGACATGTCTTGGTGGGGCAACTTCAAAGGGAAACCCGGCTTTGGCAATGTGGAACATCACATTGGAAAAAACCCATGCTCCCTGTAATGGCGATGCCATTTGACCAACACCAGTGAGCTCAAATTTCAATGAGAACTTTCCATCTGATTCGACATATCTTGGATCCAAACCGTTGTAGATTGCAACTTCTTTTGGGTGAAGGTGTCTCATCCCATGCCAGCAATTGTTGCCTGAGTCAATGTATGTTCCCAAAGGCACCAGGACACCATAGAGTCCTTTTTCCGAAAGTCTTTGTGAGCAAAAGGCTCCACTGCGGCACCCACATGGGCAGGCAGCCAACTGAGATCCCCAGGCATGAGTGGCAGTTGGCAAAGGCTTACTGGTGTTGATGATACTAGCAGCAATTCCGTTGGGCATGGTATGGAAATGCCGAAGCTCATATCTGTCAAGGTCAAGTTGTTCCTGTTCTTTGGGACTCACATGTGGGAAAATCTGCATGAGGTGCATGACAGCAGGACAAAACTGGTGCTGCGGCATGGGTGGAATGCTAACTTCTCCAAGGCATGGATGTGTTAAACAAGCCCACCAACGGGTTCGGAAGGCTGGCCATGTTGTATGCAAGTGCAACACAGTCTGGGTCAACCTGTAGCCTGTCTGCTCACAGAAGTCCTGAAGCTGCTTTTGGATCCATGGTGAATCTTGAGCTTCCTTGGTACATTCTAATGTGAGCATCGGTGCTCTCAGGTGAAATGTCATCTTCAGCAAGGAAGGAAGTGTTTGACTACGTGGGTCCTTTTCTTCCCGACGATCGCCTAAGGCACTGAACGGCTGGCATGAGAAACCCCCAGAAATTGGCTGAGGAGCGGCATGTGTGAGCTCTGAAACCAATTTGATAATCTCGGGATTACCAACATCTCCATGAATGACCGGAGTGTTAACCCTCTGTTTCAGCCAGTTACAGTAGTTGGCATTCTGCTCTACAAAAACTGATGTCTTTGCTTTGCAAAACGGCATTGCAGTACTGACGGCACCAATACCTGCGCATGTTTCAATGACCTGGTCAAAATTGCAAGCGTCGATGGCAGTATGCTGCAGTACTTGTGTGTCCTGAGCAACTTTCAACCAAGGGTATCTGCTCCCTTGCATCACTTCTGCTCCCAACATCGAAAAAGATGGGAAGCCCTCAGGGAGGGAGGCATCGGTAATAAACTTCTGCCCCAAAACCGCTGATCTGCAGATGTTGAACCCTGGACAGCGAATGAGGATTTCTGCAAGGATATCAACCCTTGTACCATCTGCCACCCCATGTAGATGGGTTTCCAATTTTAATCCAGGAGAAACCATGGCTAAACCAAATAGCGACGAGTCAATGGCTCCTTGGCCTGCATGGATCTACCCTCTGATAGGTGGAGCCGAGATCTAAAAATATTAGTCAATGGGAAGGATTATTCCCATATATTATGGAAAATAAAAAATGTTTGAAACCACCAACCAGATAAATGTGGGCTGTCGGCAAACCACACACCTGCATAAACATCTGCATGTCTCTGAGTGTGGAATCTCACTGATCCCCATCAATTTCTGATCACTAGCATGGCCATTACTCCATCGATTCTTCGTTTTTTTCTGTTCACAAGCAGTCAGCAGCATGTTTGCGAACACTGTCTGTTCAATGAAATTGGCACAAACAGTTGGGGGATCAAGAACTCTTTAACTTCCTGTATTGTATTTGCTTCTCTTGGCACATTTTTTTTGGAACTGAAGCGATGAAACGTGTCTGGTTGGTATCATGCCAAAGGATGCTCAAGGCGATTTTTGTAAGGTAAAATGGTCAGAAATCCAACCAACAAAACGATATGATACATGTAAACAATAAACAAATCATTATTATATATCATTATTATTATGGTGTTTGGCTTGTGATATTTGAAAACAGATTCGACATATCATGTTTCAACTCCGAATCTCTCCAAAAAAGCTCAGGCAGCCGGACCAAAGTACGGCATCTGAGGGATACACATCCGCATAGACCTGAAAACAGGGATTCGAATAGGTTCAAACTCCATGTTGGTTAATCTCAAGTTCTGTTGGTTAAATCATGTCAAATTCCCAGATGTGTTGTGGCGGTGACACAAAATTGTAGAAAAGAGCCACAGTTTATTCCATTCAGAAAGTTGTCCCCTTTCACTATGAAATATTTCCATACACAGAGTCCATTAAGTCCCTTTTTTTGTTTTTGTTTCAAATGATTAAATCACATTTCATGAATATGTTTGATGTTTGAGTCTCCATATCTTATTCAGTACATCACCTGTTTGATGGTCAAGTTCCTGCATTGTGATGTTGAATTACTTTACTTCGTGTGATCCCCACCATGACATTTATACATTTTCTTACTGGCATTTTTTTTGGCATTCTATCTGACATATCTTCTGGCATTCTATCTGGCATTCTATCTGGCATTCTATCTGACATATCTTCTGGCATATCTTCTGGCATTCTATCTGGCAAATCTCCTGGCATTCTATCTGGCATATCTTCTGGCATTCTATCTGACATATCTTCTGGCATTCTATCTGGCATATCTTCTGACATATCTTCTGGCATTCTATCTGGCATTCTATCTGGCATTCTATCTGGCATTCTATCTGGCATATCTTCTGGCATATGTTCTGGCATATCTTCTGGCATATCTTCTGGCATTCTATCTGGCATATCTTCTGGCATTCTATCTGACATATCTTCTGACATTCTATCTGGCATTCTATCTGGCATCTCTTCTGGCATATATTCTGACATATCTTCTGGCATTCTTTCTGGCTGGCATATCTTCTGGCATTCTATCTGGCATATCTTCTGGCATATGTTCTGGCATATCTTCTGGCATATCTTCTGGCCTTCTATCTGGCATTCTATCTGGCATATCTTATGACATTCTTTCTGGCATATCTTCTGACATTCTTTCTGACATTCTATCTGGCATATCTTCTGACATTTTTTCTGGCATTCTATCTGGCATATCTTCTGACATTCTATCTGACATATCTTCTGACATTCTTTCTGGCATATCTTCTGACATTCTATCTGGCATATCTTCTGACATTCTATCTGACATCTTTTCTGACATTCTTCCCGTTGAGGTCCGGCAGTGCCCACTGCGATCTGGAAGTCGCGGTTGAGGTCCGGCAGTGCCCACTGCGATCTGGAAGTCGCGGTTGAGGTCCGGCAGTGCCCACTGGGATCTGGATCTCGCCGGCAGTGCCCACTGCGACTCGCGGTTGAGGTCCGGCAGTGGCCAGTGGGATCTGGAGCTCGCGGTGGAGGTCCGGCTGTGCCCACTGGGATCTGGACTGCGAGGAGGAGGCGGCGGGTGAGGAGGCGGAGGAGGCAGAGGAGGCGGAGGAGGAGGAGGAGAACAGCTCTGATAAAATCTAACAACCCTCACCTGGCAGGTGGGGAAAAATCACCATGTAAAAATTGGTTGAATCAAAAAGGAACCTTTAAGTTTCTTGGTTGAATCGCATTAAGTCTGCATTCAGCCACACACACACATATATATATATATACATATATATATATACATATATACATATATAATCATATATAATCATATATAATCATATATAATCATATATAATCATAAAGAATCATATATAATCATATACGTTTCATTAAGTTCCTATTAATGTTCTTGGTGATATACTCTTAAAACACCGCGTCTCTTTGTAGGATTTCATGGTTCAATCTTGTGAAATCCAATGATTTTGTTGGTTAAATTGAATCCCATTAAGTCCCATTCAATCCCATTAAAATGCCATTAAAATCCAATTAAAATCCATTGAACCCCCAGTAGATCCATGGTTTTGTTGGTTAAATCATGTTAAATTTCCATTTGTTTGTCGGATTTTATGGTTAAATCCCACAGGGTGGTGCCCCAGTTCGTTAGCTAAGTTTCAAAATCCAATTAAACGATATGGTTTATAGATAAAATATTAGCTGATATATCTATAGTTTTCATATGTTTTCATGGGATAATAACACATTTATCACTGGGGGCACCACCTTGGCATGTTTCTTGGCGCCTCCGTAGCCACGATGTCTTGGTCAAAGGCCTGCTTCGCGGACTCGTGGCGCGTGGGCTTCCGGCAGAAGCCTCGATTCGGGGAGATAAAAATTGGATTCGCTGAGGGTTTTGAAAAATGAGAATTCCATGGGATTTCGTTGGATTTCATGGGGTTTTAATGGGATTCAATGGGACTTCATTGGATAAAAAAGAGGATTTCATTGGATTTAATGGGATTTTAATGGGATTTGAGTGGGATTGAACGGGACGTCATGGGATTTTAACCAATTTACATAATATCTGGATGATCATGCGATCAAAGGTTGTGTGGATCACATAATTCATAATATAGTATATCTATAAATACGCGGATGATTTATGATGATTACAATGATCATACATCATGGGAAAAGATCTCACATAAACCTCTCAATATCGACACTCCATGATCATCATTGATAGTCATTATATATGATTATATGACTGGTTGGTGGTATACCTACTCCTCTGAAAAATATGAGTTCGTCAGTTGGTATGATTATTCCCAGCTGAATGGACAAATAAAAAATGCTCCAAACCAGGTCGCGGGCGCGTCAGGCGCCTGGCGTTTTTATAGCGTTTCTGCATCAAAACGTCTCTTTTCAACTCTTTTAGCAGTTGTCGGCGTCGTTGTTTTTCACCAACTTTGCCAGCTCTTTCAGCATGACCAGTGGTGTACAAGTTTGGAGATTACATCTCCACACATATTGGAAACAACGACGTCGCAGAGATGGATTCATCTCTGACCCCACCAAAGTCTTCACTTTTCTGTGAAGATTGGAAAAAACAAATTTCTTCAGAGAACGTGCAGTAGCGTAGCATCACGTAAGTGTGCAAGTCCAATGAACGTTAACATCCCCCCCACCCACCCACCCGCCCACCCCAGTCAACGTAGCATCACGTAGTTGTGCAAATTGAAGCGAACGTGCAGTAGCATAGCATCACGTAGTTGTGTAAATTGAAGCGAACGTGCAGTAGCATAGTATCATGTAGTTGTGTAAATTGAAGAGAACGTGCAGTAGCGTAGCATCATGTAGTTGTGTAAATTGAAGAGAACGTGCAGTAGCGTAGCATCACGTAGTTGTATAAATTGAAGAGAACGTGCAGTAGCGTAGGGCGTAGCATCACATAAGTGTGCAAGTCCAATGAACGTTAACATCCCTGACCACCCCCCCCCCACACCCCCCCCCCAGTCTAACCTAGCACTCACGTATTGTGTAAATTGAAGCGAACACCGTGCAAGTACCGTAGCATCACGTAAAGTGTGCAAGTCCATGAACGTTGAACATCCCGCACCACCCACCCACCCACCCCCCAACGAACCCATTTAACACAGAAAACACACGAAATTACCAGAACCCATTTAACACAGAAAACACACGAAATTACCAGGCGCCTGGTGCGCCCGCTGGCAACCACCAACCAGATTAATATTAACCATTATGATATAACCATTACATAACCAATATTATATATATAACCATATATAACCATTATATAACCGTTATTAACCATTATATTTACCAACCAAATGATGCCATGAATGACTACTAGCTACCCTTATCAAATCAATTGAATCATCGGAGATCACGCGGCTTGGCACGCCGCTGCCGCACACGTGAAAAACCCTTTTTTCGTAGATTTATATAGGCTTTATTAAAGTGGATATATCATGATAATTCATGATCTATGTAATCTATATCAATGTAATCTATATTTAATATTATATAATGTAATCTAGATTTGATAGTTCCTTGCAGTTCGGCAGCACAATTCAAAAAAACACACATAACATCACATAACAAGATATAACAAGGGAGCATCACCTTGATACGGACGTTGTGCCACCTTCTTGTTGATCGGGATGTGGTTTTCTGGACTACGGAACGACCAACATGCGACCGTGACAATGGGGGATAGGGTAGGCTATAATCACGTAGAATGACATAGGCATATAATTACAGGGTATATAGAATGAATGACATATAATGGCATATAATTACAGGGTATATATCATTATTTAACAATAGGGTATAGTGATCGTTTATTTCTCGAATCCACTGGCTGTCAGGAAACATCCACAGGAGTCATTTGGGATTATCATCTATGGCAATATCAGGAACATAAACCATATTTGATATAGCGGATGATTACACCAATGATCATAAATAATTAATCATAATAAATAATGTGATAATAAATATCAGCAAAACATAATATATAAATCATCAATAAGCAATGTTTGACCACCTCCAGCGAAACATCCTTCCATTTCCGGCGTGTCAAGCGACGCCGATACGTCTCATTGTCCACAGTACCATTGGGTGCGCGCGCCGCAGTGTGCCAAAAGATTGCACCGATGTAACCTCAGAACGTGACAATTTATAGGGAAACTACTAATAAGAAAGCCCCAATCGTCTGGGAAGATTATGGGAATTACCCTCTGGTAAACGACCATAACTATGGAAAATTACCATTTATAGTGGTTTTTCCCATTAAAAATGGTGATTTTTCATAGCTATGTTAAATTACCAGAGGGTAAGGTTCCATCATTGGTGGTCCCTATATTTTTTTCACGGATCCATGAAACCTGAGACAAAAAACCAGGTCTACGAATGGCAAAGCGGCTGCAACCAAGTTGCACTGTGTCAGGATCAGATACTATGTAAATTATTCCGTTCCAAATACAGAATTTACCCACTTTCACCAAGATCTAAGTAAAGTTGAAACTTCAAACAGCCATGAACCATCATTTTTTGTGGTGAAATCCAATTCCCATTTGAGCCATTTTTTTTCCTCAAAAAAATCCCTACAGGTGTGCCTGCTATGGGTTATCATGATCCCAATCAATTAGATAAATTAGGTAGTAGAAGTCCTTATAAGGAGCTTTCCTAAGTAATGGGGGTACCCCCCAATAAATCCAAGTCCTTAGACCCTGACTTAGTATTGAAACCCATGGTGACTTGGGGATCCCCCATTTGAGGAAACCCAGCAACGCTTCACCAAATCATCATCGGAGAGGCCTCAGGCAGCTGAGGATACATGGGGACCCAAGGGATTAGTAAGCATGGTTATACGCCAGTTATATATGGCTATATGATATGTACATATATATATAATATTTATAGTTACTGAGTTATAGTTATATATATATGGTTTGTAACCATGGTTATATGGTTATATGTTGTATAATATTGCTACATGATTACTAGAGTTACATATATAGATATATACATATTGTATATACATATTATATATATATCACTATAACATACTACAACTACACTTGTAACTATCGCAACAGTGGTGAGCACCATGGTCACAAGAGTATATAACTTAACCAGATCTAACGAAAGTATCTCCAAATGGCGTTATTGATGGTTCCAACTATGCTCAGGGGTGCATTTTCGGCCACATGTCCGGGATAACCCAGAGTCAACCAGCTGCCAATGACTAGAGTGATATATTTCCCAGGATGAATCCCTCTCCCGATTTTGGCGCTCACCAGGGTATCAGAATTTGATGCCCCATTTACTGCAAACCTTGATTTTTTGCGGCAGGTATTGCCGTGATTTTTCGGAGGAACACCGGAACACCCCCTTTGATGGTTTAACCATGGGACTTAGATGTTGCCAGAACTACCTGAAGACCCCTCAACAACTAAGATGTCTTGGGATGTACTGCAGACCCCACTTGCCAACCACCATGGTATTGTTGATGGTCAAATTCAAATTATCTCCGGCCGTATTGCTGAAGTTATACAGTAGATATTCCCCACACTGGCTCATTGTGGCAACATCTCAGTAAACTTAAACCATGCTCACCCCCAATCTTTCTCGGTGCAATTGACATCAAATTCCCATTTGGGTAACCATTCAATAGGCTTTACCCGGCGCTTTGCGTGCGCACCTGGAATCTTCAGCAGCTTCCCGGATTTCAGAAGGATCCTAGCTCAGCGGCATGGGTCCCTGAGGGACGAAACATGTGAAAATCATCCAAAATTCACATGTTAAAATGGAATGATTTTGGGTAAACTCCTGATTTCTCAACATTTTTATGGAGAAACATCGTCATGTCTCAGCATTTTGGATAAAAAATCCTCATTGAAATTGAAAGCGACATTTTTCGAAAAATAGGATCATGTCTCAGGGGAATTCCAGCTCTGGTTGAAGCCATTACCATCTGGTTATGACTGTTGCATAGCCATGGAAAATCACAATGTTTAATAGGTAAACCATCTATTTCTATGGGCCATCTATACCATGGCTATGTAACAAATAACCAGATGGTATATTGCCTTACAGTACATAATTATGGGACCCCATCATGCTTGCCAAAATCCAGCAAAAATTGCAGTGTGCTTGAGCTGCGATCGTCATCCAAAAGTGTTATCGTTTTGATGGCGAACCACCAGATAGAGGAAATTGAATGGGCCGGGCTGCGCCTTTGAACTTTTCAGTCAGGGTTGGAACCACTCAACCATTGCCATTTAATAAGGGGCTACCATGTTTTTCATCGGTGTCTTCCAAGTTCGATGCTTGAGAAAACCTATCCCAAGACAAGCCTCCAAATGAGCAGCGTTCAAAACTGTCATTTTTTGTTGCTGGTTGGTTAAGAGGATTTTCCCATAGATGATAACACTCCCCAGTGTGATAGAATGACACAGCCTCATCATCCATGAAAGGTGTTTTTTGTTTTAACCTTGCGCAAAATACATTCAATAGAGGTTCTCGTCCACCCATCTGTGAGCAACGTAACAATGGTACATCATGGTGCCGCACGTAAAATGTCCATTGATTCATCGGGATAATCATTGGAATGACTGGCTGTAAGTGGGTGATCAAAACTACTTATGTCTTGGATATCTATATATATATATACATATACATATACAAATACATATACATAATGCATATATCAACTGGTTGGTGGCTGGATGGGGGGAAAAAAAACACACACAACACGACATATCTACGAAAAAATAAGAACATATATGTATATGTATATATAATTATATATATAATATATATATATATACTGTATATAAATATACATGCATACATGCATACATACATACATTACATTACATGACATGACATGACATGACATTACATTACATCGCATTACATTACATTACATTACATTACATACATACATAACTAACATAACATAACATTACATTACATAACATAACATTACATTACATTACATACATACATACATACATTACATTACATTACATTACATCACATCACATTACATCACATTACATTACATACATTACATTACATTACATTACATTACATTACATTACATTACATTACATTACATTACATTACATTACATTACATTACATACATACATACATTACATAAATACACATATATGTATTATGTACATATGATATATATATATATTATATGTACACCCTCTGTAATCAAACATGGGAATGGACAATCCACCATTTAAATCCACCATTTATAGATGACTTTCCCATTACAACCCCAGTTTATGTGGATTTCCCAGCTAGCCATGTTTGATTTCCAGAGGGTAACCATGGTAACGATTATTAATAACCAGTAAGATTATCAGTTAGATTATAATGTTAACCATGGTTAATAGGTAATATTAGCCTTTAGTAACTTGTTTTTACCGTGATTGACCAGTATGCATGATTATTAACCACCATTAACCACTATTAATCATATGCATATATATATAATCATATGTAATCATATTACTAACACCTAGAACTAACCGTTTATAACCATGTCTAACTTTCTGACAATTACAGAACAATTACCCTCTGGTTATTTGTTACATAGCCATGGTATAGATGGCCCTAATCGAAATAGATGGTTACCATGGTGATTTTCCATGGCAAACTGTTAGTCATAACCTATGATAACCAGAGGGTACATACCAAGATGTTAAAACACCTGGAACTTCTGGAGAAAAATTCGCTGCGCTGCCCATGGTTTCATGCTTTGGTCCTGGACCAGGATATGGGTTTATCTTCAACCCGAGGCCTCGGAGGCACGGTTACTCAGGCACGTCTTGGCAAAAACACATGAGTTGGTCAACTCATACCCTGGGAAATTATAGGGAGTTTTTATAACATTGAAATATGTAGTAGCTCATTCTGATGTAAAGATTTATTTCTACAAGTATCTGACAGAGTGTGGAAAACTGGGCTAGTGTTGATGTTTTCTATATTATGTCTTTCAACCCTACCATTGGTACACGAATTGGGATACTATCGAGATATGATTGGGATGTTATTGGGATATTTCCTAATGAATGAAACCAATGGCAAACTCCTTTCAACATAGAAATATGGAAAAAAAACATGGAAGCCAAGGAATCAATAAGAAAAATCATGTGAAACAAGGTCCATGTGAAATTTTGCACCGCAACTGAGATGGAACATACGGACATTCCTCATCTCATCCTGATCTCATCGCCATCTCATCGCTCCGCCTTCCGTCTTCCTTTGACGCTGACTCCCAGGAATGGATTTCACAAGTTCCCATGAGCGGTAAACATCTCATGATCTCTGATGTATGCAACCCTCATTTTCTTCCTTGAAGGCGAATCGTCATGTTTGCTGCTGAAAACCCATGAAAATCCCATCGATTCTGCAGCCTGAGTGCTACAGTAGGTATTCCTAGTGTGGGCAACAACAGCCACCCTGTAAAGCAGATTGTATCGCCCATGAACAGGGAGTATTTTTGTAAGCAATCAACAGATTGATTTAGCATCTTCATCATGAGTTTCAGTTATCCCTACTAAACTGGATGTAAAAACATGACTATCCTTATACTTATATTCATCAGATTGTGATGACTATATATCATTTCTCAATGGTATCTTCATATTGTTGGTGGTTTAAAAATATCTTAAGACTCACAAATCAATTTGAGTGGTCAAACCCCTGATATGATATCCTTCTCAGTTTGATCAATCAACAGTTTCATGTCCCTCTGGTAATTCAACAGTTCGCTAAAAAATGGTCCATTTATAGATGAATTACTTTTTAAACCTGGTGATTTTCCATAGCTACTGTGGATGGTTGGTAGATGGTTTATCCCATTATAATCCCATTATTTACAGTGCTTCATAGTTACCTCATAGTTTCCAACGGGTGATTCGGATTTCTTCCATCCACAGTATGTTGAATTAATTACCAGAGGGACAATTTCATGAAACAAAAAAAAAACAGCAAATCCGAGGACCCTTCTGAAATCCCGTTAGTGACATGAAAAAATACCAATGAAATCCAGGGTTTTCTGCGTTAAATTATCTTAACCCCCATCTTTTCATGGGATTTTCAGTGATTTTCAGCTGTCAATGAGACCCCCGGATCCCGAATCATCCGAATCGGGAGCCTGGAGTAAGCCTTGCCATCCACGGCATCGCGGTCGGCCAGGACTAGGGCTGTCTCACCTCCGTTGAAAAAAAGCTGGGAGATCCCCTAACTTGGAGGGTTTGTTCATGCGAAGATCCACTAGAAATGAAGCTCATATCATGTCATATCTCTATATATAATATATGAGGTCCACACTAATTATCAACAACTAGTACAAAACTTCTGTCAACTATTTTTGGCAAATGGTAATATATATATATATATACTGGTTGGTGGTTTCAACCCCTCTGAAAGATATGAAAGTCAGTTGGGATGATTATTCCCAATATATGGAAAAATAAAAAATGTACCAAACCACCAATCAGTATATATGTGTATAATTATCTACATGAAATAAAATGAAGAGGAAAGGACCATCTCAGACAGTCTCATATTAAAATTATTAGAGTCCCCCCAACCGTAAACACGTATATTATATATATATGGCTATGGGTCAATACCTATAGATACATTTTTAGTGGGATGAACATCCATTTACCAGCTATGACTTGGGGTTCACTAGGTACCAGGGTTTTGACCCATCCCCATATATACAATTAATTACAATTATATAGATACATCATTGCATGCGGCTTTGTCTGAAAATGGGATATTCGCCCAATTGAATTGTTCTTTTTTCAAGGGACGATGATCCGTGGATTTCGAACAGAGCCTACAGAGCCTGTTGATTTACCGCCACGGTGATTTTCCACATGTGCGTTTACCAGAGGGTACTACATCAGTCCTCCCAACAAAAAACAAAGAATCATCCTGATAGTCCAAAAAATCACGTACCTATTGTTGAAAGTGTGAATATAATTAGTTCGATCATGATTCCAAACAGTTGAATGACTTCGCCACAGTTAGTTGACATAATAAAGTGAACATCCAAACAGGATTAATGGTCAGTTTATATAGTTGGTGAATATTCAGTCAATTATTGATTAATGAATATGTCCTTTCTACTTGATGGTTTCACTGCCATATGTAGTATAGTATAAAACGTCATGCGGAAGGAACCCCAAGAATGCCGAAATTACATTGTAATCGTAACCGTATAAGCAGCTGCAAAAGATTGGAATGTTCTGCAAATTGTAACTGTCCTCATGGTTGCATGAATCCCGTGAATGATGCTTGATTGTATCCCCATGTTGTTATTCAGAAATGAGATCCCCAAACTTGTTCATGATTTGTTGGTTATGTCCAGCGCGACCAGTGGGATCCCCCACCATGAACCATTCTTAACTATACCCATATGCTCCATGTATGGAATATGACACTTCTAAAGAATGACCTCAGTGTTAGCACATATTCCGACACCTCAATGAGCATTTAAGGGAAATTCACCAGTTAGCCTTTTTCAACTACCATAAAACTCCCTATCCCATCTCATCAAACACGTCTCGGTTCATCCTCATAAACCACTTTGGATACCCCCAACAAATGTTCAACATCATTTATCACTGATATCCCCATAGTTTTGAATAGCAACCTGATGCTTTGATGGTTTAAACATGAAAAAAAAAACCATGGTTTAAAACTCCGTAATGAAAATATGGGTATGGATCAATACCTATTAATACCATTTTTCCAGCTATTTTGGGGTTCACTAGGTACCAGGGTTTTGACCCATCCCCATATGCTTCTTACCCATATGAGCGAAAAAAGTCCCAGGCGCCGTCAACGGAGAGTGCTGCTCCCTGCGACCAAATCCCTGACAGCGACTCGCGACCGCTGTCGGATCCGACGGATCCGTGGTTACTCAATGGGCTGAGTTCACCACAGTGAATGGGACCCGGGATAACCATCAGTGGGGACTTACCATAATAACCATGGTTACCCTCTGGTAATTTAACGTAGCTATGGAAAATCACCATGTTTAATGGGAAAACTCACTATAAATTGCAATTTTCAATAGCTATGTTAAATTACCAGAGGGTAACTATCTATATATCTATAGATATATCATGGTAATTATGGTTAACTATCTAATAGGGGGTTTCACTATAGTTTTTGTTTTGATACTATAGTGTATCTGGTTGGTGCTATACCTAGCCCTCTGAAAAATATGAGTCAGTTGGGATGATGACATTCCCAACTGAATGGAAAATAAACATGTTCCAAACCACCAACCAGGGACTTACTATAATCAATGGATTGGTTTAAGGGAAAATCTTAACCGGAAACCATATAGATGTTCCCATTAAATATAGGACTTTCCTGTAAATTATCCCTTAAACCAATCCATTGATATAATAACCATGCCTACTGACCAATAAAACTATGTGGATGATCCTGCTGGAAACTGGGCTCCGTCAAGCATGGCAAGCTGGAAAATCAACGGAGCTTTTCAAGGGAAAATCAGCTACAAATGGTACTAAAAACTATGAACTGTTGTGACTTGTGGACTAAAACTGGTGTATCTGAATGGTGCTTAGCTGGTTAACCAAAAAACACGTGGGTGAACTCATTTCACCTAAAAATTGGAACATGTCTTTATCCATAACAATATGTGGAAATTCAAACTTCTTCAAAAAAGTTGTGGGAGCCTATACTCAAAAGCAATGGAGCACATGGTGTGATTCCTGGCAAAAGAAATATATGTCATGCACTATATGACTTTGCCATGCCATGTGTCACATGCTCTGTCAAGGAAATTTGCTATTGGGTGCCATCGATTCACATTCTTTGCGAATATATCGCATGTTCTTCCATAGAAATGGCTCAACATCAGCCCGTGAAGTCCAACAAAATGTATCAATCAGCACTTCCAGCAATGTTGAAATACCTCCCCAATGAAGCCAAATGGTGACCCCTTGCTGACCTTCAATCACGATCTGCAAAATCTCACTTTGCACCATAAACTCTTCATACTCCTGCGCCAGGGCCACCCACTGGAAGAGTGTCATGTTGAACTGGGATGTGAATTTACAGCTGGTGTCTGGTGAAAATATCCGTGATTTTCTGAGCCAATTATATATGTACATAATATATGTGTGTGGAAGAAGCTCCAGGTTATGTGTTCTTGACTACATTGAACTATATACTCACTAAGTGAGATGCACATGAAAATTATAAATTTATAGCATTTTAATGCATTTTGTAACATGTAAGTGCCTATTCTTGACAGATTCCATCGATGCACCACTGCTTTTGCACAGCTGATATCGGGCTTGGTACCTCGGTGGTACATGTTATGCCTAGGTTTCAGCGTCATGGTGAAAAAGTGGGATTTTTGGGCTTGAATTCAGCATAATTAACGAATGGATCGTGGATTTGGGTGTGTTTTAAAATGGGTACCCCCTGAATTCACTGCTGCATCAGAAATATGAGGATTTTTTTTTTTGGGAGGATGGCGGCAGAGTTGCAGCTGTGGTAATCAAACATGGCTGAGAACTCCCCCCCGAGACGGAGGTGATGGGAAAACCATGGCCATCGATTGCCGGAGGGTAACCACTTGTCTCTGTTTGCGAAATCACTGACATTGTGTCAGAAAATCATGAAAACTCAATTCACCATAGAGTAAGAGTTCTTGGAACCCTCTGGTTTTCCTACAATGTGCCCTCCGGTTTTAATTGTGTTTATAAACCCCATTCACTGTAGTTACAAGTATCATAAACCATCGTTATTGGAGTTATGAATTAGGCCCCCAACTTAGCCATCGTTGGCCCCCTTTGTAAGAAGGGAAACCTCACTACGGGATTCATGATTTCCAGGATCAAATCCTTGCTCCTCGGGAACGAAGTCTTGATAGCTTCCATTGCTCAGTGCCCCCTGTCCCAGCGTTTGCTGCGCAAAAAAAAAAACTGGTGCTGAAGAGAACTCTGAAAGGTCTGAACACAGGACATGGGGGATTTTCTCAATTGTGGGGTCTGTCTGCAAATTCGGTATACCACCAACATGGCAATTATAATGATGAACCAATTACTGGGGTACCATGTTTTCAGACAAACTCAAATATGCATGTCTATGTTTAAAAGATTTAAAGGCCATCAAACAACATCGAGATTGAAACAACAAGGAAAAGAGTTCTAATCAAAAGGGAATTTAACACGATTTACATCAGCAGCATCAGCATCAGCAACAAAGGTTATTTTCACAACCATCTTGGGGTGGACCACAAAATAGGTCAAAAGTCAAGATCCATATTAAGGGGCCTCTAGATAGGCAAGTTGGCGTAGAAATAATTAATACGTTCACTGAGATCATGGTTGATAGATCTCTATATGTTTTTTTTCTGCGTTCCAAACCAACTTACAACTGGCTGGCCACTGAATGCAGGATCCCACAGATTCCAGCACTATCACTTCTTCGTGTCAAAGCCTCCTTTTTTGGCGGTTCACCATGCTGAACCCACGTCAGATCACCCACGGACCCATCCTGCAGAAACAGCACGGTGGCAATTTCCGGGGTGGCAAAGGCTGCAATCCCCAAGCGTTCTTTCAACACTTCCTCGGTTGTCCAGTAGCTGAAAATCTTGGGTGGCCAAAAATAATGTGGGCGTTGGCGTGGGATCAAAAATTAAAAATTAGACCCTATGGATCCAAACACTGTCTGAGAAGGTACTTAATCCCCTAAATCATACCCCAAATACTTCCTAAGAAGGTACGGCTGGATCCATAGGGAGAGTAGCTCAAAATGTGATAGATTCTTATAGATTACCAAGAAGGACAAACACCAATGGGTCTGTCGAAGACCGTGGCCCAGCGGACGATTTGACGAAGATTTAAGCTCCATGGGGTGAAAACACACAGATGAGAATGGGATCAGAATAGGATGAGAACCCAAATGCTCCATGTATAGTGTATTTACCTACATTTGGGTGATTTATGGGGTAAATATTGGTAAATATTCCATACATGGAGCATATGGGGAATGGGATGAGAATGGGATGAGAATGGGATGAGAATGGGATGAGATTGGGATAAGTGGTTCCTGGTTACCACCGTTACGTCCTCATTTCCAGGTGTCATAACCGCGACTGGTAACTGACCGCTGCCACTTATCCCTGGCTCCAACTTGATGCATCCAACAATCCGCTGCAGAAGCCTGCAATTTTTAAATCTAGTACATGTATCTCCATTATATAAGATATAATATAATTATATATATAATATATATATATGTATTATATCTATTATATTCATATTGATAACATGTATATGTGATTATGACTATTCTATACTACAGCTGGTATTTAAAAAAAAATGGATACTGAACATCTCCATGATCCGACAGGTCTAATGAACTGGAAACGCCAAGGCCTACAGTAGCCATGTTTAGAGGTTGAAGTAGCCATGAGTACTGAAGAAACGACCACTGACCTTACGTTGCAACCCAAATCTCCATTTTCCTAAAAAACTTTTCTGGGTTTTCTCATGGGTTTTCCCCCAACATCACCCAAGTGATTGGCCATTTTGAAGGACCCAAAACCCATCAAAACCCCACTGGTTACACTGCTGAGCCACTCGAATCTGGCGTTTCGACTTCGTCTTACCACCACAGCACCTCAATGAACCGGGTCAAATGTGCGTCTTCAGGGGGAAATGGAGTTTACCAAAGTATTCATTCGTGTTGATATCATGGTGATATTCTTGGGATATGATGGGAATATATATATATATATGACATAATTGAATATAATTTAGGCGGAAATGGAGTGTACCAATGCTTCCCTGAAAGTCAAACGACTCATTTTACCATATCTTACCCAGCATAGGAGTGATAAAGCAATTCAGTCAGGGGTAATATTAGTCATTGTGGTTTTCTGGGTTTACCAACCAACATTTCGGAACGGGAGAGCTACGCATCAACTAGAATATGACTTTTCCCAATCCCCCTCCAGCTCAAGGGTACGTGTCTCCCTCAAGAAAACTGGTGTTGCCCTGCATTTAGCAGATTTATATGGTTGGGATTACACAGGTATAAACCCTTATTGTTAACAACAAAACTCGGATTGGACCCATAAAAAAGGACATGTGGATGACATATGGGAAGATCACTGGCCCACCAACGAGTGAATGCAACTGATTTTTCGTGGTACATTCCTCAATGTATGGGTCGACAGTCAAACAATAAGACAACCGACCATAACCAACCAAGTACTGTATTTACCTGATTGGAACACCATGCAGACTTCGCAACTGCTTAGGAAGTTTGACTGGTTTTCCCAATTCTCCATGCATCCATCCCAAATGCTCCATGTACGGAAGTGGGAACATATTCCCTCATTTGCCCCAAAAATCACCCAGTTCTGTGGCCAAAAAAAAATGGGCCAGATTATCCCCTGAACAAGAAATCCCCACAAAACTGCAAAATGTCTGATGTTTGAAGATTGTGGGAGTTATCCAATTTAGCCCCACAAAAAAACAAAACATCCCATGGCATGGTGTTCGCCCGTTCTCAAATCCACATCCTCCGGGGTCCAGGCCCGCCAACAACAGCTAACTTGGACACGCCAGGTATTTCGGCCTCGCCCGTCCCGGGGTGAGTGGTTGGTGGTTGAGTTCGTCAGCCGGGCTTATGACATTCCCAACTGAATGGAAAGTCATAAAATTCCATGGTTCCAAAGCACCAAGCAGCAAAACGTTAGAGTCGAACAGCACTTTATCTCTATATATTTCACGATATGCTATATTATAATACTGGATGTTTATGTATCTATTTCTCAGTTTGGGTGTGCTATAAACTATAAACCAATGTACTGGATCCAGTTTCAACCAAAGATATGCTTTATGAATTTTTAGTTCCAGAAAATCTTCAGTATTCCCTGCGAAGAAACAATTGGCCAACCATGAATCAAGTGGAACCATCTATAAACATGTATAAACCAATTTGCCTTTCTAAGGGCACAGTCAATTTGAATAGAAGATGCTCCAAAATCATAAAGAAATTAAATTTTCTATAATAGTGTCCCGGAATATACTTCTTCAGTTTAAATAGTTTAAGTATTCCCAGAAGAATTCTATCGGTTTCTCGAGTTTTTCCCGTTCCATAGATCCACAAAAAAACTCTCTGGTGAATTCAGATACGGAAACCATGACCCATTTAGTTTGATTTCTAATGGTTTACCCTCTTGTAAACTAACATAGCAAACTGGAAAATCACAATCTTTAATAGGTAAATCAACTATAAAATCTATAAATGAGTTGTGTTTTTTTCGTTGCTAAACTAAAATACTGCCTACGCAAGGGTTACCTGTCAAGAAGTGCCTACGCAGTTGCCTCCGCGAAAGTTGCTGCAAGGATCTCTTTACTTGACGTGACGTGGTCACGATTCTGGTTCAGAAGAGGAAGAAGAAGAAATGGAAGACGACGATTCTTTGGGTGCCTTGTGAAAGGAAGGCGGAAACCTCCTCAAGCGTGGAGCACTTTGTCATGATGTGATCGGCAGTCATGATGAACTCATGGAAACAATCAAAAAGTGAAACGGTAAGACGAGTTGAGCCTCGGGAACAATGGAAGATAGTCCGATATTGAGCCTAGACGCGAAAGTCCGAAAACTTGGTACTGTAATTTTCTGAAAAAGCGATTGCGTCTTTAATAATTATCCCCTTTCTTCCAGCTAAACATATGAATCATACAATCCAGTTGCATGCAAAATCATTGTAATCCACCAAGAGAAGCAAGAGTCCGAGGTCAGAAACAAACAATCTAGAACATCTAAACAAGCGCCTAGGCGAGACTGCCTACGCAGCATCTCCTACGTTATCCTACGCCATATGCCTACGCAGGACCTGCGCACCAAGCAGAATAGCCTACGCATGAATGATGTGAGTTCCTCCTCAATCTAAATTTCATCATCTGGAGAGAAAAAAAAAACGTGGCTCAAATGGACCGTTTTCAAGAGCTATGTTAGTTTACCAGAGGGTACCCATTAGAAATGGTGATTTTCCCATAGCTATGGTGGTGTCCCCACTTCTTAAGGCCGCCTTGACACGGCGGCACCACTGGGTCTCCGGACGAAGCCCCACGTCACCGCCTCGGCTTCTTTGGGCGCCAGCCCATCCGTGTCCGCGGGGTCGTCGTCGCCCGATCTTGGCAAGGATAAGGGACAGCGCGCCTGGTGGAAAGCCACGAAACCATGGGAACTTGACCATGGCTTTACCGCCACACAATTTTAGGCGATTGTGATGTTTGGTCAATGGGAATTCCAGAATCCTAAAATGGAGGTACGCTAGTACCATATTTCTGGCCATATTTTGCTGCGATATTCTCTTACATAGGCCTAAAGAATAGGCCTTACATATGGTAGGTACCTCCAATAAATCACAAGATTTCTCCCTGAAATTCCCTGGGGATCCCCATGGTTTCCTACCCCGAAGATCCCATGGTTTCCTACACACTGCATTTTGGGGGTAGCCCATTTCTAGGCCCCCACATAGCCCAATTAATGTGGGTACAACAATAATAAACTAAAACAATAATAAACCGCCAATCTGGGAAGAGTTTATACCACCTATTTATGGTTATTTGGGTGATGACTTATTATTGTTTTACCCACATTATATCCTTATTATACATCCATTGTTGTTGTTTAAGTTTCGATTTTTCATGGTAAAAGAAAAAATAACAATTTATCAGTTTCACCCAGCGGGTATATCCCCATTATCCCCAATCAATTCTTTTCTAATATCACCATTATATTCCCATTGTATATATCGAGATATATCGAGTCATCGACAAAAAAACTAGACCTACACTTTCACCGTGATGCTTAAATCCCAACTTCTTTGGTTAAAACCATGTTTTTCTTGCTGAAAAAAAAAACATGTGAAATACCCATAAATTAAGCGTTGGTTCAAATATGTTAAAACCAGAGTTCTGTTGCTGAAATCCCTTGTTTTTCGTGGGTTTTTGACCCATTCTGTGGGTGAACGCCACAGGTCGATCTCGGGTTGATCGCCTCATCGTAGCCTCTCCCCGAGTGCATCAGGGCCAGGCGGATCTTCCGCACTGCCGAGTTGATGGAGCAGGCGATGCGCTTGGCCATGTCCTCTGAAAAAATCGAGGCTTCTTCCCATAGCAATTCTCTTGGTATATATATATATACATATATTATATAATTATATTATATTATATATAATATGTATATATATATATATCTATGTATATATAATATGTATATATATATATATACATCATGGAAACCTAGGGGGGTCTATGGGTGGGGTGTCTGGATAAACTATGGCAACTATGGATAAGCCAATGAGGACTCTGTACCAGGATTTGGCTCGAGTGGCATGGGCAAGGCTTGCTAGAAACAAGCAAGCAAGAAAAAATGCCACTTAAATCTCCAGGGTTAGACAGTCTATTGGCAAACGCATGGCCCATGAATTCAAGATAGTGAAAAATAAATCAAAGACTCAAAGCGGGGAGGCGACACCCAAGGCAGGCAATTTGCACGCAAATGGGTCACTTGACCTGGATTGGGGTGAGAGGATAAGGGCTTAATAAGAGCTTAATAAGGGCTTATCCACTGCTTAACCCCAAGTGGTGGATAAGCAGTGGATAAGCAGGGAAACAGCACCTCTTTGACCATAGACCACCCCTCCAGAAATGACCTTCAGGGCACCAAATCCACACAAATCCTCAAAAAAACATTATATCTGGCCAAATTACTTTAATTCTTACCTCGTCTCCCTCGTGTCTTAATTTGTTCCCCATGATTACTGTCCTCGTTCGTTAATTTGCAGGTGCAAATTAAGGCTTTACCTCGTTAATTCGACGGAATAAATTAGCTTGTGGGCCTTCTTTCCAGGGTCCAACCCCAAGGAAAAAAACTTTTCAGCTTCCGAAAGTTTTTTTCCACGATCCACAGTCTCTCGCAGGGATTTTTAAATCTGAGTCTGATCGGTCTTTGCGCTTCTTGCGCTTGGGTGGTGACATCTCTGACATTATCGCAGAGATGCAATGCTCTTCTGGAGCAACTCTGAATCCTACTGCTTCTGCACCATGAGCCGCAAGATAAAATAAAGAGTTTCACAAGACACCCGGGAGAGAATATCAGGGAGGGGGACAAAACTTTTCGACATCCGAAAAGTTTTTTCCACAAGGTGAGATAGATTATCAAGACAACCGGGGAAAATGTCCAGGACGGGAAAAAAAAACTTTTCGAGGCCCGAAAAGTTTTTTTCCACAAGGTGAGATTGCCAATTTGGGTCCCTTCCGGTTTTTTTTTGCGGGACCCTGTTGGGGGTCGGTTCCTTGGATCCCCTCCAGGGGGTGAGGTGTCTTGGTTGCTCCTTTCGATCTCCTCCGGGGGTGCGGTGTCTTGGTTGCTCCTTGGATCCCCTCCAGGGGGCGCGGTGTGACCCGCAACATGGCGCCCTAGGTGGACGACTCAGAGGCTTCACGGCTGCCAGACTGAAATGTGTCAAAAAAAACTTTTTGGGGCCTGAAAAGTTTTTTTTTCCTTCCTTGCCTGCTGACCGGCCTCTGGCGATAGAAAATAAAACTTTTTGGCCCCCAAAAAGTTTTTCTAGCCAAGCCCAAGCATGCAACAGAACCAATGCAAGGCTACCTCGTCGAGGTCGGCTAATTCTGATGAGCAAATTAAGGGCTGAATCCTACTGCTTCTGCACCATGAGCCGCAAGATAAAATAAAGAGTTTCACAGACACCCGGGAGAGAATATCAGGGAGGGGGACAAAACTTTTCGACATCCGAAAAGTTTTTTCCACAAGGTGAGATAGATTATCAAGACAACCGGGGAAAATGTCCAGGACGGGAAAAAAAAACTTTTCGAGGCCCGAAAAGTTTTTTTCCACAAGGTGAGATTGCCAATTTGGGTCCCTTCCGGTTTTTTTTGCGGGACCCTGTTGGGGGTCGGTTCCTTGGATCCCCTCCAGGGGGTGCGGTGTCTTGGTTGCTCCTTTCGATCCCCTCCGGGTGTGCGGTGTCTTGGTTGCTCCTTGGATCCCCTCCAGGGGGTGCGGTGTGACCCGCAACATGGCGCCCTAGGTGGACGACTCAGGGGCTTCACGGCTGCCAGACTGAAATGTGTCAAAAAAAACTTTTTGGGGCCTGAATTTTTTTTTTTTCCTTCCTTGCCTGCTGACCGGCCTCTGGCGATAGAAAATAAAACTTTTTGGCCCCCAAAAAGTTTTTCTAGCCAAGCCCAAGCATGCAACAGAACCAATGCAAGGCTACCTCGTCGAGGTCGGCTAATTCTGATGAGCAAATTAAGGGCTGAATCCTACTGCTTCTGCACCATGACCCGCAAGATAAAATAAAGAGTTTCACAAGACACCCGGGAGAGAATATCAGGGAGGGGGACAAAACTTTTCGACATCCGAAAAGTTTTTTCCACAAGGTGAGATAGATTATCAAGACAACCGGGGAAAATGTCCAGGACGGGAAAAAAAAACTTTTCGAGGCCCGAAAAGTTTTTTTCCACAAGGTGAGATTGCCAATTTGGGTCCCTTCCGGTTTTTTTTGCGGGACCCTGTTGGGGGTCGGTTCCTTGGATCCCCTCCAGGGGGTGCGGTGTCTTGGTTGCTCCTTTCGATCCCCTCCGGGTGTGCGGTGTCTTGGTTGCTCCTTGGATCCCCTCCAGGGGGTGCGGTGTGACCCGCAACATGGCGCCCTAGGTGGACGACTCAGGGGCTTCACGGCTGCCAGACTGAAATGTATCAAAAAAAACTTTTTGGGGCCTGATTTTTTTTTTTCCTTCCTTGCCTGCTGACCGGCCTCTGGCGATAGAAAATAAAACTTTTTGGCCCCCAAAAAGTTTTTCTAGCCAAGCCCAAGCATGCAACAGAACCAATGCAAGGCTACCTCGTCGAGGTCGGCTAATTCTGATGAGCAAATTAAGGGCTGAATCCTACTGCTTCTGCACCATGACCCGCAAGATAAAATAAAGAGTTTCACAGACACCCGGGAGAGAATATCAGGGAGGGGGAAAAAACTTTTCGACATCCGAAAAGTTTTTTCCACAAGGTGAGATTGCCAATTTGGGTCCCTTCCGGGTTTTTTTTGCGGGACCCTGTTGGGGGTCGGTTCCTTGGATCCCCTCCAGGGGGTGAGGTGTCTTGGTTGCTCCTTTCGATCTCCTCCGGGTGTGCGGTGTCTTGGTTGCTCCTTGGATCCCCTCCAGGGGGTGCGGTGTGACCCGCAACATGGTGCCCTAGGTGGACGACTCAGAGGCTTCACGGCTGCCAGACTGAAATGTGTCAAAAAAAACTTTTTGGGGCCTGAAAAGTTTTTTTTCCTTCCTTGCCTGCTGACCGGCCTCTGGCGATAGAAAATAAAACTCTTTGGCCCCCAAAAAGTTTTTCTAGCCAAGCCCAAGCATGCAACAGAACCAATGCAAGGCTACCTCGTCGAGGTCGGCTAACGGCTAATTCTGATGAGCAAATTAAGGGCTGACCTGGCTAATTCCTGCAACCTGCCTCGTTGCCTCGGCTGTCCTCGCTATAATTTGTGCAGATTATATATACCAAAACCCATGCGAAACCCCCAAAAATCACAGATAAACATCGAACGGCATAGAAATGAACCACGAATCACACAAAAAATAGCAAAAACCACCAGAATCATGAAACACCAAAAAGAAATTAGATCTCATACCGTCTAAAATTCAGCAAAGTCTACAGCTAAACTCCGCCACGGTGGGATGGCCCATTTTCAATCCTCTTCCCACCGTTCAGATGTGGGCAGAAACATCATCCTTCATTTTTACGATAAGCAGTGGATATGGAAGTTCAGCTATCCATGGGGAATAAGATCTTAATCAGCCCTTAAATGAGAATCCCTTAATATGGCCTTAATAGGCCCTAATCCAGCCTTAATAAAAATCCCTAACTAGTGTTTATACTAGCCAGCTTTTACCAGGAACTTATATGATAAGCTCATAGACCCCCCCATAGACCACCCCAGCCCCCTGAATTAATATATATATATATACATATATACATATAGAATATATATATATATTATAATATGTATATATATATAATTATAATTTATTTTATAATATGTATATGTATATATATATATCTTTATGGAGGTTTCCTAAGTCATTGGTGTACCCCAAATCATCTAAAACTAGACCATGACTTAGTATTGAAAGCCATGGCGACTCGGGGATCCCCCATTTTAGGAAGCCCACATATATTAGTATAACAATATGGAAATCATATGGTAATACAATGGGAAATCTTACCAGCCGTATATCCCAGCAATACGGCGTTTATATATACTAGTATCACAGTATTTATGTAGAAATATAATGGGATATGTCTTACGACTTTTGGGATATATATATACACACATACAACAATGGTGTATGAGTGCATCTTATGGGATTATACTATATACATCTAAATACTGTGGGAATTGAACCAATATGTGCGGCTCAAAAACATGGGTTATACAACCACAAAAACCATATGTTTTAAATGATGTTTATATATATATGGGGATTTCTGAATGATATACGGGAAGTTCACTGCAATGGGAAGGAAGATTTGGGGATTATGCTGGGAATTTGGGGGTTTTCTCCCACCGATAAAAAAAAAAAACTGTTTGGAGGACGCCATGGCAACAGAAATGGAGGAACTATAATTTAGAAACCATTTCTGATAGCCAAGTTGATTGAAATAACTAGGCCAACTCTTGGATCTATGGTGGAATTTTGAGGTGACAAAAACTTTAAAAAACTTCCGGGGCGTTCCTGATGTTCCTCCTCAGGTCATGATTAGTGGGGTAGCCAGCTGTTTTGTGGTACCGTGTGGTACCGAAAAAAGTGAAGAAACCTCCGCGAAAAAACAGCTGGGATTGGTGGATTTGAAATGAATAAAAAAGATGCTGAACGGCTCGGCACGGGCACGGACTTCAACCAAAGGAACAAGTGAAACCTGAAAAATAGATGCTTAATAGAAATTAAGAATTCGGCAAGAAACATGGGAAACTTCCCATGAAAAGTTGCATTACATGAACAAATGGCTATTTCCAACACACGATACAAACGGGGTGATAGGACCAACAATGC